TCGTGTTTCCAGTGTATTTTATAGTTCCATTTGTGTTGGTATTAAATGTACTTCAAACTAATATTCAGAAACTGTTAATACATCTAAACGATATATATTTATTTTTTCATCCACGAAAGGCAGAATTTTACACAGCTTAAAAAATGAGTGCAGTAAAAAGAATAACAAAGGTTTTCATCTTTGTATAAACTTTGTTTTTGTTCTTAAATCTAATGTGCAGACATGTAACAAGCAACTATCTCCGTAAATGTTAAAATGTGGATACTAAATATTTGAAGCTGCAGAAGTTTAAGAAAATGATAAGTATGGTGGAAAGAAAGAAAAGACTATTTATACAAGCTAAAAATAACAAAAAAGACAAACATCGGTGCAATAAACTTATCTCTTACTTCCAATGATCAAGTATATCTAATACTGAAATTGCAATATAAACACTGCAGAACGAAATATGAATCGACAACCAATCTTTCTCTGTACAGGAAAAAGTGCAATCTTATAATAATTACATTCAAAGCGCATTATAAAATAAAAATTATTTCAGAAGAAAATCTGATATAATTTTATGTAGCAAAGTCTCCCATTTTAGCTGCGGGATTAGCAGCTCAACAAATCAATGTCTCTCCGTCAGTCCGTTAGTTAGTTAGTAACAAACGTTCATAATTATTGTCTATTGCTCCTACATATTTTGACCGATTTCAACCAAACTTTGTCAAAAGTATCAGTAGCCCAGCCCCAACATGTCACATGACCAAATTGGGGTCAAAGGTCAGCGTGGGGTCACTGGGGTCAAAAACCTGATTTTTAAAAATCAAAACACTCCTCCTTCCAGAAAATACATGGCACAATCACGTGACTCATGCATGAATTAACACGTGAGTTCGTTGGCCCGCAGCTTCCGAGATCCGATCAAGCAAGCTTGTTCAATTACACTCTAAAACAACCTAGTCAAAATATCGACTGATTTACCTAGATATTGAAAAATGACTAGGAATTTAATTAAACATGCAAACTTTCATACTATGACTAGAAAAAGTACCGGTTGTTGGATTTGACAATTTTAGTTACAGTGAAATCTCGATAAGTCAAACACTGATAACTCAAAACAACTGTTAAGTCAAACAAAGAATCCATTCCCTTCAGTTGTATTACAATGATATACAACCCTGCTTGACTCAAAACTCTGCTTAAGTCAAATTTTGAACCTGTTCCCTTGAGGTTTGACTTATCGAGATTTCACTGTATTTGCATAACTATTTCCCTATAGTCAATAATACTGACTGCAAAAATCTAGTCAGATTGACTGACTTTCAGTTACACCCAGCTGACCCTGAATACTGAGCTTGTCAAAATTAACTGGTTTCAAGTCAAATCTGACTGTTTTTTGTTTTTTGTTTTTTAGAGTGTATACACCCTGTGAAATGCCATAATTTGAAGATGCAAATGGTCAAAAGAATAAACTTGAAAAATACTTTTATTCCAAAACTTATTCTATTTTGGTAATTTGTGTATTTACAAGTACAAACGGCTTGTGCAAAATTATACCAAAGGTTTTTGTTCATTGGACAGGCACACAAATAGAAGTATAAATATTTTAAGCAGATTAAATTGAAATTGAACTTAAACATTTAAACATAAACAAATTAGGTTCCATATAAAAGTATACATTTATTAAATTACAAGAATTTAGCCTATATTTCTAACAATACTGCACGGGTCAAATCCTCACTTTACTTCCTTGACCAAAGAAATTTCAAAACTCGGTTTTTTCTCTCATTTTTGGTAGAGCCTTTTTTTCCCACAAACAACTAAAATAAACTTTCAAAAATATTTAAAGCACATTCATGGCAGTGTATGAATAATAATGCGGTGCTTATTAGCGCCTTATACCTTAGGTGTCAAAGCGCTTTACAATAATTATCCCTGTTCATCAGGAATGAGACCATTTTTCTGCAGCAGCTCGAGATCAGCGCAAGTTGCTGTCTACCTTCACAGGTGCCCATTTAATACTCCTGGGTGGAGAGAGGTAATTGTAGTAAAGTGTCTTGCCCAAGAACACAAGCACCATGTTCCCTGTCAGGGTTCGAACCCACGTACCATGGCACATGAGTCAAACACTGTAACCATTGAACCACAGTGCCCCAGTGGCTGTAAATAATACTTTTCAAATAAGAATGAAGAGTGTGGTTAAGTCTACATGTATTTCTACAGAGAAAAACAGCCATACAAGCATTAACTGTCATATTGGAAACGACACGCTTGGGCACTCAAAGTCAGTATGGGTATGAAGCCCGGGAAGGGACAGGGTGGAATTTGTTTTTTGTAATTTGCTAATTCGTTCCCACGAATTACTAATTCGTTCGCAAATTACAAAAAGAAATTCCACCCTGTCCCTTCCCGGGCTTCATATATGGGTGATATTTTAATACAAACTTAATAACTCTTTTGACAATTTTAAGGTTCCGGATTGCCACTGCAGTGCTCGACCAACTGAGCTATCCTGGTAGACCATCGGGATAACAATCCGGAGGTCGCAGGTTCAAAGCCCGCTCCAGTCAATGTCTTTGTTCATCCTTAAATTAACTATATAATACACCTAGTCAGGTTCCCTGTGTGGTTTCTTTGATTAATCTTTCAACAGGGCATATTTAACTATAACAATCCCCATCCAGTCAAACTCCAACACCAGGGTTTGTTGGAATCTGTTGGAGTGAGTACTACACTAGTAAACTGATTATGCTTTACATGGGGTTAGGCATACCAGCATAATTAGAGATTAACAGTTTGGGTGTCAAGTTTACCATATGGTGTTGGAATTTGCAGGAGTGAGGAAGGTTCATAGTAAATCACTCTAGGGGGTTAGGGTTATGAACATATTAAATACGCACAATGGCAGCTGTTGAAAAAGCACATTTGCCAATTAAATCTGTCACACCTCTATCCTTGCTTTAAAATTAGATCAAGGCTTTCGGAAAAGCTTTATAAACAAAATTAAAAACGAGAATTTGCATTGATTGCTTGCACATGATTAGCAAAAAATGTTATTGGCACTTGTTATTTCTTTTTTTAAGCATGATTCAACCAATAATTGTTCTGTTGTGAGTCTGGACAAGTGAGTCGGCTGTTTTTTAAATCTCAAATTTGGGATTTTTGGTTACATGTACATCACAATACATACTGTTCCACCTGGGCCCAGTGTCATACATGTCCCTCTGCTAATGGCCTGTCTCAATTCATATCTTGGACGAGTTCCGGACAAGTTCCAGACATTGTATCGGGTATAAGTTGCAGGATTCTGAACAACTTCCCTGCAATCTTCCCGCAATGAAGCTATCAGTATTGGTGAATAAAGCGGTCGCTCATGAAAATTTCCCTGGAACACGTCCGGGACAAATGCAGAGCTTCTTCCGGACAAAGTGAATGATTCTACCCGCAACTTGTCCGGAACTCGTTACGGAGTATGAATTGAGATAGGCCCTATTTCTTTGAAAGGCAAGGAATTTTGACTCTCGAGCGTATATCACGTGTTTCAGGGGGAAAGGGGGGGGGGAGGGGCTTTCCATTAAATGGAAAAGGAATTTTAGGGAAGCTCAAACCACACAGTACTGGGGGGGGGGGGGGGTGGACCCCATCAGAGGGTGCCACTACTCATGGTATAAACTTGTACACGTGCATATTTACATTTATACAACTGACATACAGATCCTAGTCATTTAATTGGTGGAACTCACATCACGTGACATTCGTTATTGCTCCCATTCATGCCGCGGCTCAAAAAGTACTATCCGCCCATGGGGAATGGGAAATACTATTCAACAGTTAGGATCATGACGCGGTATTTGTGCATGCAAATGCATGCTGGTGTGCGCGTTCAGTGTTGCGCGTAGCGCGTATTGTTCCAAAGAGCCAGCGCTACAGCGTTGGGTTCAAACATTTTCGTGAAGGGGTGGTTTGGAAGAGACAAATACATTTTCCTCCAGGTTTGTATTGAAATAAAAGTTCAAACATATCAAATGACAAGGATCTATATAGTTAAATAAAACAAATATTGAGTGGCTTTAAATTGTGAAATGGGAGGAATATTATCGCTCGGTAAAATCTGGACTTTTCCATTTCACTCGGCTTCGCCTCGTGAAATGGATAAGTCCAGATTTTACCTTGCGATAATATTCCTCCCATTCCACGCTGAGCCACTCAATATTTGTATAATATTTATCAGTACCCCTGGGCCATTTCTGCTACATTAAGTTCACATTTTGGAAATGTGTCTCTCTTTTTTATACTCTCTTTTTTCCTTTCTCTCTGTTATTTTTGCAATAATAAATCATAATAAAACAGTTATCATTTTGAAAACTTTATCTCCGAAGTCAATTTCACGAAACAGTTCATGACTTATGCCATGTGTAGGACTTATGCTATGCACAGGATTACGCAACAAATTTATTGCGCAGCTGCGCAATAAACTTACGATCGATTTCACAAAACTTGGCGTAGCTGCGCAACGTTTTAAATAATCTAAACATCTTGGATGAGGATAACAACATTTACAATGGCTTTTTGTGTATGATTTTGTTCGTTCATATAAAAGTTGTTCAATCATCTCAGCCAGCCAGTTTGAAAACGATTTTGTATGACTGTCTTCGGAATTGTGCGGAAACTCTAAAAACTCTGTTGCAAGTAAACGAGTAATTCAGTTACTTCAAACACAAAGCTATGAGTGTCTTGTATAGTTGTGCAATGACAGGCTCCACGGTGCTCGCCATTTGCTGGTAAAATAGATCATTTTCAATCGCTACGCCACAACTTATTGCCACGTAAAATGATTGCGCAAGTTACGCCATAAGTCCGCAAGTTGCTGACTTACGCACTATGAAACTTTAACTGAAATGTGGCGCAACGTGGAATGTTGCCAACTTACGCAATAAATTGTTGCGAAAGTGGACTTACTCCATTGTGTAAAGTTTCGTGAAATCAGCTGGGTTTTTTTTTCCAGAAAATTAATATCACTGCTCAGCAGTGACTCACAAGTTTCCCTTGAAGAACAAAAGAAGCTCTTTGCTTTTCAGCTAGGTGATGGTCGCATTGGTGGCAATGTAATGCACGACGTAGTAGTCGTGCACATACATGAGAACGGCTATGGGTTGGCCAATGATGATTGACAGCCAGACGGCCATATTGGCTGTGTAGCCTCGGAGGAAAGTGCTGACAAAACCGGCCAATGGGATCTGAGAAAGAAAGAAACACAAAAAACAAGCCATTCTTATTATCATTCTTTTATTGTATGGGATGAACAGGTAAGGCCAAAAAAAATAATAGTCAATCTCTGGTCAGACCGAAGTTCCGGAATTGATGCGGCGACGCGTTTTTTTTTTTTTTTTCAAGCTTGTATTGTACAGACAAGGTGGGTACTATTTTGCTTTTTTGTATCTTCATTATACATTGGTGTCCTCCATAATTTGCCTTGGTGCCCTTTATCTTCCAAATTTTTACGGGTAGTCAGGTTGGCGTAGCGGTACTTTCCTCGCCTTCCACTGCTGTGACCCGGGTTCGAATCCCGCCTGGGCCAATATGTGGATTGGGTTTTCAGTCCCTACCTGATTCCCTGGGTTTTCCCCAGAATATTCTCCTGGGCTTTTCCTCCCACCTCTAAAACTGTATTTTCTTCTCATTGTCTTCTCTCCACAGGTTTCTTCAGGCTTGCGAGCTACAGTGCCTAGGGCGCTTTGAGGAATGCTTGGTTTCATAACCAAAAATGATTAATAATAATTAATAGTAATAATATCATTTGCCTTGGTGCAATTTCCCCATTCCTTGGTGCTCCTTGATACAAAAATTTGAGGAGGCGCGGCAATAGAGGGCGCTGAACAAAAACAGAATGAAAACATTAATTCACTGGATAGGTGGTACAAACTTCAACATAAGTTGTTGGTCAATGTAACAACTTCTTGTCTGGAAGTTGGAATGTGGCCTCTTCGTGGCTTAAGAGCACCTGATTTCATGGAACTCATTGTAAATTATGATGCATCGCAGCGCTGCGATGTGTCATATCCCTGCGACGCGCTGTATCACAGCTGCAATGGGTCCAGCGATTCATTTCACAAAACACCTTGTAAGCGCGACGTGTCGTAGGTGTATTTACTGCACAATACATTGTATGTGTGTTTATATGTATGTGTTCAGCGTACAGTAAATAGTCGTCTGATTTTCAGCAAAGAGTCGTCAGTATGATCTCCTCTCGGAAATTTTTTTAAATGTAAAACAAAATGGTGGACGTATGACAAGCTCACAATGGACTGTTAGCTACTTTGAAATTCCAACTGCAATATTCCAGGCTAATTCATATTTACTTCAATGCATTTTCCATTTACAACTTCACACACATTGTCTCGGTATTCATAGTCTCGTTTATTTAGTTTTTATGGTGTAAAACTGTCCATGAAAAGGATGCTTCCTATTGTGCAATGACCACTTGACACATCAACTTGCGACATGTTTTATGCTGTTGTCAAGGAACTTACGGCATTGTAAGTTTTGTGAAATGGATCATACGACGCATTGCAAGTTGCGACGTATTAGGTGTCGCAACTTGAGTTGCGACACGTCGCAGTGCCTCGTGAAATCAAGTGCAGGTCATACTTCACTCAAAAAGCAAAATCGAAGCAAATTTCATGACATCAATAATTAAAGTATTGGTAACGACATTTGCTGTTACCCTAGCATATACCCTTATACTTGGAAATTTGCATGAAATATGAAAAAAGCCTTGCTGTTGGTGGTACACTACATACACAACTGGAATTCAGTTGAACAAAACACAGCAAACTACTTTTTACTAACAAATTTTTGAATGATAACAGCAAATTCCAAGTCTCCATATATAAATATAGAAGTGAAATATCCAGAATATTGGCCTCTTATTCATAGTAAAATTACATTTCATACCTGCAGGATCATTCCCATGAAGCCCCACAAACGGAACATGTGCAGCGGCACACTCAGCAGATACTGTAAGGGTGAAAAATGGGAATGATTCAGGGAGTAAACACAAAGTGTTGCAACCTGCTAAAGCCTTAAATAAATTAATTGTGATCGTAAGCGCGGAATTCTGTGGTTAGCACAGCCATGAAATTGGGCCCAGGCTACATGGGAAGACAAAACATACTTAACATTTATGACCCTCGCCGAACTTGCAGTTTACACCTCAAAGCTATAAAGCTCAGTTCACACTTGTATCTTGCTGTATTGGCGCACCGATGTGGTAGTATTATTGTGCGAATCTTTATGATCAATCTGAACAGCAACTTCAAAGATTTGAAATTTGGGATTGGGTTTCTTTGTTTTTTCAGTCGGGTACCCGGTTTCCATACTATCCATAAATGCACACCCGTAACAGAGACAGGGAAACAAATTGTACCCCAATTTATAGAAAAACCTAAATGTCTAACTTCATTCACATATGTGACCTGTTCTGTCAAAAGTAGATGCTTCTGGGCACAGGTTGAAATTGAGATAGGGCCAAAAAAACACTGTGGGGTGATTTTTTTTCGATTTCCTCATTTTTGCATATTTGTAATCCTGAACATGTCTAAAATATAATATAAAAGTTTGAAACCCTAATTTGAACTCTTAAGTATAGTGTTGCTGATGATTTGTTAAGGTATATCAGTTAAAGAAATGTCACTTAAAACAGGTCTTAAAATAGACCCCAAACTTAATTTAAACTGCCGTTTTCTCCGTTTTCTACTTTGACACGATGAACTTCAAAATAGCATAACTCTACCATGTCTACCCAGGAATGACCGTTTAAAAAAAATTAAACCACCTATTAAAAGGAAAAAGTACATATTTTAACAATAAGCACAAATCTCATTTTTGACCTTATGCCCAGAAAAGTCTGATTTAGACAGAAGAGGTCACATATTAGGGATTGTCTGGTTTGGGAATATCAATTTGAAAAGGGTGTCAATTGGTTTCATGCTTGAGAAAATAGTCCAATTTTGTTTGTATTCCACACTTACCTCATGAAATATGGCCGACAGGAAGAACACAGTGACCTGTCCAGTCAGTTTGCTGTAGCCGTGCCTCAGTAATGGTTTGTACACGTGTCTAGAATGAAGAACCATACGGGACAATGAAAGTGACTTTTCAAAACAAACTTCACTGCTACAGGGTGTCCGCCCCAACAAACCCCAAACTCTTCACTCTTTCAGTGCCAAAGTCGTACATGTATGAGGTATATTTGTTAGTTCGAAATTGCCAACCTCGTACATGTACGAGGTAATGTTCATACTTAAAATCGCCAAACCTCGTACATGTACGAGGTAGAGTAAGCATGTTATCACAAGGGGGCGCTCTCGCTCTTTCTAATAATATCATTTTCATTGAGGTACGACATGTATTTATTTGTTTCATTCGAGTTCTTGCGAGAGGGCGCAGCACTGACACTCGTATTTTCTGCAAAAAGTGCGGAATTCCCCTGTGTGCAGGACAGTGTTTCAGGGTGTATCACTATCAGTGTTGTAGTCAAGGCCAAGGCCGAGGCCACAACCTCCGAGGCCAAGGCCGAGGCCGAGGCCACAACCGCGAGGCCAAGACCAAGGCCGAGGCCACCACCTCCGAGGCCAAGGCCGAGGCCGAGGCCAGCTATCAAAACACGTAATAAAATATAAATCACTAAAACAAGGCTAAGATTATGTAATCTTTTTAGTTGAATGTAATAATCTTTTTAGTTGAATTTACTGAGTTTTGGAGTGCCTGGCTTACAAATTTACAGCTAGCAATGGGTTTCCTCTTGTAGGGAGTCCAGCGAATTTTATTTTTTAAAGAAATCCCAAGTTTTGTATTACTGAAAGCAAATTACACAACAAAATCAATGGTGTTTGAATCAGGCTCATAGGTGTTTGCCCTTTGGAGATACAACAATTTAAATGGCCAAATTTTGAGTTTCTATTCTGTAAGATTTACATTATTTACTTTTAACATGTTTTATAAATCTTATTTTCAAAACCTATCAAAATGCTTAATATCATAGGAATCCCCATTAAATAAACAACAACTTGATTATTGAATCAGGTTTTTACCACTCATGATAACCAAAAAGTTACGCCCCCCCCCCCCCCCGACCTTCGCACTGTCCAGGCGCGCGCCGTGCAAACACCGCGATGCGACCAGACAATGCCAGACGGCCCGCCGTTACGCACGGGCAAAGCATAGTCCCAATCCCGCTCCACACAACGGGATAAGTGTCCACGCATTATCACTGTTAATACCGCGGTACCAGACAAAGTCTGGCAATGGCCAATCGATCCCGCTCCAAACAACACGGCAACACGGAACATGCGTGCATGATATCACTCAGTTCATCAAAATGACCATGAATTCTCGGATCATCCGATTTGAATCCAATGGCTTCGAAGAATTTTAAGATCATGGCAAGAGGTAGGGAGTCCAGAGGTTTTGGCCGTATATCTGTAACCACGCAAAATTAGTCAATTTCAAACCGTGCTTATACATGTAATAAGTATCAACATGGCTCTAAAAATACAAAAAAAAAAGGATTCTGGTACCACGAGGAATACTGACTCCTATTATTAAAACATTCATTCAGAACTTTGCATTAATATTCATTTGGATGGAAAAACAAATTCTGAAATCGCGCTTTCCATATCGACCATTTGCGCCAAACATTACCGTGTGAGCCGGAACTTTCATTTAAATCACCGTGTAAAAAACTGTTTTTATCATATCTTTGTGAAAAAAAATGGGACGGACTAGTACACTCGATCGTACCCATAAAGTTCAGACTTGTACTGAAACAGTGGCCTATAAAAAGAAATGATTAAGCTTGCCGCACCTTGCCGCAAATCATTTTTTTAAGGTCGGGGTACAGAGGCGAAACGAGAAAATGTTTGTACAACACTGCAACCAGACTAGTCTACTACCACATGTTATTGTACGCAGATGGGATTGGTGCCAGACTTATGTAGTCTGGCACGCGGTAACAGTTATAACGCTTGTACGCACGTGGAAAGCTGAAGCGCATGCAGGCTAGGCGAAGATGCTACGTACGTGAGTAGTACGCTCAATGCAACCATTTCCAGTTCATTCGTGCGTACATTGTATATGCGTTCGTTTCACGGAACCCACTGCGGCAAAATCTCGAGGGTTTGATACGGTAAAAAATTTAATTAATTAGAATAGAAAACACTTCAAAATGGGCGGCCTCGAGCCGGCCTCGACCGATTCGCCGAGGCCGGAAGGCTCCGAGGCCGAGGCCAAGGCCGAGGCATTGCACCTCTGAGGCCAAGGCCGAGGCCAAGGCCATGAAAATCGGCCTCGAGGCCGGCCTCGAGGCCGAGGCCGGCCTCGAGACCTCCAACACTGATCACTATGTACGTGACTACTATTGACTTTCCAATATACCAAGGATATAACAGAGAGCAACAACAACAAATTTAGTGAGTAAAACTTATTTCCTTTTTTTTTTTTACAGAATTTTGAGCAACTAAAAAAAACGCTCGAAGTTGGGCATTTTAGGGCTAAACTTTTAAAATTTCGCGGGCACTGAAAGAGTTAAAGTCTCCCCTTTTTCACAGCTTAAAAAAAAACATCTCAAATATCAATCATACTTGGAGAGTCTAGTTCATTAGCTTTTCAACAAGAAGAAAATCTTTCCGTTCAGGGAAATATTTATTGAGTTATGGCCAATTTCAAAAAGGGCTGATTGCTCATTTTGTTAACTGTCATTTATTAGGAATGTAATGGATTTGGGTTGAGAGTAGTTTCACTTTTTACATTATTTTTTATATTTCTTTCCTTATTTTGCGTCATTTTTATTTTTCGTTTTTTTGCAACAATGGTCATTTCTCCTCTTGGAAGAAATGGTAGTCCTGAAAAGGATTGTTTGGTTAACTTCTTTGATGTTTAGCGTGCTGCTCTGCCTCTTTCACAAATGCAAGTTTCGGCCCGTGTTTTGATTGCTGCCGCCAAATATCAGTCGCCTTGGACAAAATGAAAAAGCGGTTCTTGTTTTCAGTTGGCCATAACTCAATAAATCTTTACCCGATTGGACAGATTTTTTCGTTGTTGAAAAGGTAATGAAATATACTCTCTAAATATTTATTGATATTTGCAATGTATTTTTTTAAAAGCTGTGAAAAAGGGGGCTTTGAGAGTTCTTTTTTTTGGGGGGGGACACCCTGTATACATTTTTAAACGTTGAACAAAAAAAATTGACTGGTCAGCGGGGTTTGAACCTGCGACCTCCGGATTGCCATTCCGGTGCTGTACCAACTGAGCTGTCCAGCCCTATGTTGGCGGTTCCCCGTTTTGTCAATGTCTTTGCTCAAGGAGTGCGAGTTAGACGCCATAAACTCGTATAAGCCATGTAGCCAGGAATCAAAACTAGCAATGCTGCAAACTTTGGAAATAGCAAACAGGGATCACTCAGAGACAATACGGAACTCAGTTAACTTGCACAGTTTTGATTGAACAAATTAGAGGCAATTTGAAATGTGCATTCCAGGAAATGCCTTAGCTGATGTGCAACATGCATGCATTTCTCAACATAAAAGCAATTCGAATTACACTCTTTAACACTTGATTCTGGCATTGGCTTTTCCACAGTGTAGTTGATGTCTTTTGCTCCCTGCACATCTGCCAATGTATTTACCTTGAGCACCATCTGTACGTTGGGATGTTCCAGTTCCTCCAGAAATATCCAACAGACTCTGAATTCCTTTGAGAAAAAAAAGTATGAAATTCATATAAATAAAATACAATTTTTGGGGAGTTTTAACCAAAGGGCTGGGGGTTGGAGCAATCTTTCATCTGTACATTTTTCCCCATTATCAGAGTCATGCACCCTTGTTTCATGAAGGGCTATAATCTTTTTCTTTTCTTTTTACAGCTGTTGTCAGATTTTGGCCAACAGTTAGCCCAAAAGGTCAATTTTTTCATTAATCGTGAAAAGGAAAAGTGCTTATTCACAGAGCGCTCTATGATTACTGACGATTGTCACTAAAAAATTATAAATATCTTGTGAGGCTAACACTTCGCGGTCAAAGTATAGCTATCTCTACACAAATCAAAATTCAATACAATTCTACTCCCCAACACCCCTCGGCCCCTCCCCTTGATGACTTGAGATGTTTGACATTTGGTTCTTTAAACCCTAACCCTCCAGTGTGTTTTTGCTAGAAACCCTGCAAAACGCATCAACCTGCAAAACTTGTCTAAATGACAAGCCTGCCCAGTGCAGCAAGATCCATCAGGTCAGAAGTCTCTAGGCCAAAATGCCTCAGAGTCTGTGGTCACCAACTGCAGCAGGATACAACCGTGGCATTCTTCAATGGGACTAGCTCTCATTATCTCAGAACTGGCCGTTTAGGCACTAGCCTTGGTCAAGGCGTTAAGCGGTAGCGTCCGATGATCGATTGTCGGCCGCTGACATTCTCAGCAGCTGCGCGCTATGCATTCACATGTATGTACTTTATGAAGTGCGTACAGCTACCTCACGCGGCTAGGCTACAATATGTAAATCAGGTGTTCTGAACAAACGCCTTGGAACATCCGTGAGCCTTGGCTTGTGTTTTGCTTTATTTTGTCGCTGGATTTCCAGCGACAACCCCATACGCAAACAAAGATGAGATTATTATTCAATGCCTGGTTGTGATGGCTCATATTTTACATTGACCAGTCCTTCTGTTTTGAGGCATGTGATCACACCCCCACGCCATCACACGCCTAAAAGCTTCCCGAGAAGTGTGAATAATCGCACGCCTGAATCCCTCAGTAACGCACACCTCCGCATACATTTACAGCATAATTATACTTCATAATTTGTGAAAAATAAAGTATGTCAGTGAAGAGAAAATGGCTTAATTGTAAACCAAGATGAATATTATGAAATAATATCCCAGCTTGGACCATAGAATCACACACCTAGAAAAATCACTTGCCTAGAAAATCACACGCCTAGAAAATCACACGCCTAGAAAAATCACATGCCTAAAAAAATCCAGGTGTGCCTTTTTCCACACACCTGTGATGTTCAAACCAGAAGGACTGATTGACATAGAGCTGGATAGTGTGGCTACATGCTCCAACAAGTTTGGAGTCTGCAGACCAAATATTACTCGATATAAATCCAGCGGCAATATAACCAACATTGCTTGAAAAGGATAGACCATCGCTATGGTTGTTCTAAGGCGTTCTCTCACTTCCACCTGAATTGCATAGTAAAGCCTAGCTGCGTGAGGTCGCTGTTCGCGCTTCGCACAGTACGTGTGAGTGCATTGTTCGTGGCCAATCATCGATCGTCGGACACTATCGTTGAACGCCTTGACCAATGCTATTTATGCACTGGGGTCAATGGCTGAATGAAGCGAAGTCCAACAGGCGTTCACACCTAATGCACTGTGTTGCACCTGGCAGGGTTAGGATTAACAGTTTCTTACCACCAGTCCCGGTAGAATTCCCTGTCTGCGAATCGAAGCAGCTCAGCCATGATGTTCAGGAAGGAGTGGAAATAGAAGTAGAAGAACATGAGCCAGATGAAGTGGTTGGGAACCTACAACAGGGGCAAAAAAAAAAAAAATCAGAGAGGGTTATCGTATTACCCCTAACCTTCCTCAATCCTCCAAAAATCAACCTGATGTTTTTTGGAGAACTGAGGATGAATGCCTTTGAATAGCCGGTCGATTTTGAACGATGAAATGCGTCAAGGTCTTACGGTGTAAGCTGTAGCTTGGGCCAAGTTCGCGCAAGGACTATAGTTGACCAATGGTTAACTAACGTTTGCCCGAACTCTGTCTAGTCGATGGTGGTTGACTACGCTAGTCGACTATTTGGAACCAGCCTACTGGGGTTGGTTGCTTCGCTGGTAACCAATAGCCGCGCGCATTCATAACGCTAGCAGAGAGCCAGGATTCAGAAGTTTTGTGATAACATTTTGACCAGCGTTTGAATAGAGACGTTCGCACGTTGCTATCAGTGCGCAGGCGTAAGGTACGTCATAAATCAACCACTAGTCGACTAATGGTCCTTGCCCGAACTTGGCCTATTATTACATTCAGCCATGCCTAACTGAAGCCCACATATTATGCTGGATATCATCCTCCAACATCTCAAAAGTAAGTTGGAGGGTTTTGAAGGATTTTGAAGGATTGAGGCAGTGGTCACCCCTCCACTAAACAAATTCAAGAAATAACAGATGATTAATGCCAGATTGAGGCAGTTTCCAATCCTACAGGGGTGTGATTGGACAAAAATGAAAAATCCACGAACTTTGGTTGACATGTATACATGTACATATGTACATGTATTATTGTACATGTACATGTATTATTCTACATGTACTTGTATAGATGTGGAAAAATCCGGAAAAATCACACCCCTGAACAAAACCTGGCTACATGTCATCGTTCAGCTAACAGGAATATTTGTTACACGCTACATGTGGTCAGCTTGCTAGACTCGTACTGTGTGAGCTCGATCAAGCGTAACTTTTCTGCATAGATTACTTCATTTACTCTGCATGGAAAAGAATAGTTTAAAAGCCAAGTGTACTGGTGTGCGAGTCTCACATCCTAATGAATGCTCTGCTCCGTGGCGATCGTCATGCTAGCGCAATAAACAAATGGGGTAGACGTCCCAAATTTCGGCACCATAAGAGTCGATTACTATTTTTCGACATATCATCATCATGTCGGTTTTAAGGCCGTTGTCCAGTCTGTTCTGGGTTGGCCTGCTTTCTCCCTATGGCTCTCCTCCACTTGGCCCTGTCCGTCGCATCCCTCGCATTGACATCCTCCTTGGCTAACTGCCACACTCGCAATCTCGGCACTTGCTTCTTCTTCACCTTCCTAGCACCAACCAAAGCCAGAGCCAGGTCACCAACGACAAGACGGTGCTGTGAAACACACTCTTCACTTGCGATGACCTTGACATTCTTCACCATGGTGCGGTCCCCTTTCCTGACCATCAGGAAGTCGACAGCACTATTGCTTCCACCGGAACTGTACGTCACCAGCTGGTTGGAGGTCTTCCTGAAGAATGTGTTGCATATCACCAGCCCGACCGCGTCACCAAACTCGAGGATCCGCTCACCCGCGACATTCCTGTCACCATAACCCATGCCTCCATGCATGCCATCATAACCATCTGCAGCCGCACCCACATGGCCATTGAGATCACCTCCCACAATGACACCCTCTCTCTGTGGCAGCCTCGAGACTACCCTAACCATCTGATCCCAGAAGGAATCCTTCTCTTCCTGTGACCTCCCGACCTGTGGGGCATAGGCCGAGATAACGTTGACCACTCTCCTCCCGACCAATAGCTTCACCAACAGGATCCGTTCACTGACTCGATTTACCCGGTATTCCCGTCGACACACAGCACGTGGGCATAGCGTATGTTGCGATACCAAAGCTAAATCGATCCCGAACCTGCTTTGGTAATGTCACGTGACTTTGAAAGACGTTCATGTTGTCCGGAAATTCGGCACCCTGTGCCTAAGTTCGGCACCGTGTGCAGTCACGTGCTTCTGCAATGGGCGGCACCATGTTTCAGCGCGTGGGGAAAAAGTTGCGTTACGCACACGTTTAGTTCCGTAGGTTTATATTTTCACGCCTGTAAAAGTTGTATTTTTGCCCTCTATTAGTTATGTCCCCAACAAAATTCAAAATGGTTATCAAGCTAATATTGATTTTGTGAGTTGTTTATCACGTGCCGAAATTAGGGTCACTTTCTGACCCCTGCTCATAAGTTCGGCATCCCCCACAAAACTACACACCTGCACTTTGTACAGACGATCTTCCACTCTCAGCGGCACAAACCATCACCAACGTCAGAAAAAAATTCCATTTTAACCACTTCGACATGAAAAAATGGCTGCAATCATCTTTTTCATCTTAAACCCCATCTTACAAGGAATCCTAAAAACTTGAAAAAATAGTTCGCCTTTTATGGAGAGATTTTTAATCCCATTTTTTATTTGCAAGAATGCGTCTCAAGGTTCCATTATTTTTGGTTGAAAACCTAAGGGCGGCTTGTCACTTGTCACCCGATAGCAACATGGGTGGTCACGTGATCGCGTTGGCGGGCCAGTTCACTATTTTCATAGGGGTGCCAAATTTCGGGACGTGCTGAAATTCAGGACGTCTACCTTGTATGTATTGTATGTTCATTGTTGACATACATAATGTAACACGTGTGTGGTATTGCGACGTATGTATGGTGTATTGCGAGTGTTACATTTTTCGGCCCTGAAGGCAACACCCACTGCATGGCATTCCTGGGCAATGTTTAGACAACCAGAAGACGTAGATACTCACGGCTAACTTGAGGATCCGCTCCACCATTCTCTTGAGGTCCATTTCCTGTGGGGTCAAAGGTGAATATTAACAAAAAACAAATTCATCACGTCAAAGACACGTGTAAAATTGTGTAACTTAAAGTAAAATATTTGCAACTAAATTCACTGTCAAAAGAAACACCGCATAAATTTGTAACATTTAACTTTAACTTCAAATTCTACGTAATCCATAGGATTTTGAGCTTTACAGCCTGTCTCAAAAAAAATGGTACAATCAGAAAAAAAATTGGTTAAATATGAAATTTCAAAATAAGTCAGTCTTACTTGGCATAATATTAAAGAACAAAGACTGGGCTTTCCAATAGTGTTTGTTTGATCTTATTTGCTTTTGTCAATTCAGAGATATAATCAATTTAGTGCGATACACCAAAATCGATTTTGTGCCACTTTTATGCATGGGAAGAGTTGTTTCGAGTACTGTGCCATGCTGTCTTGAAGCTCACAAAAGATTGCAAATTGGCAAAAGAAACAAACTCGATTTTTGTGTTCCGCAGTAAACTGGAGTTATCTCTGGATTGACAAAAGCAAATGAGATGAAACAAAAAGTATTGGAAAGCCTGGTCTTTTTTCTTTTATGTGATGCTCAAAACGACTTACTAATGTTGAGATTTAATATTGAAAAAAAAATCGTTTTCGATTGTACCATTTTTTTTTAGACAGGCTGTACAGTTACCATGCTATGCTAACAGCGCTAGCAGGGAAAGCACTAGGGGTGTGCATTTATGGGTACCCGGGTATCCGTAAAAGAAACCCAACCCCAAAATTCAAATCTCAGAAGTTGCTGTTGAGATTGTTTACAAAGGTCTGCACTCTAATACTACCGCATCGGTGGGTCAATACAGCAAGATACATGTACAAGTGTGTACAGTGAGCATAGCTTTACTTTCGCGAGTGTCATAAAAGTAAAATTTGTTTTGTTTTTCCATGTTGCCTGGTTTTCATTTTGAAAACTCCCTCAAGATGGCATTCAAAGCCTTTCTTTTTCATTGTCTGAGAACTTACTAAAAAATTTGTGAAGTTGGTTACGGGTACCCAATCCTATAATCTAGAACTGGTTCCTGACATCAAGATCAGGTACTCAGGTACCAAGTTCCGATGCACAGCCCTAGTCAACAAGAATACTGCATCAACCTGTTACCATTAAACTTTGAATTCTCCATAATCCATCAGGGGTTAATCTCATGGCTATGCTGACCACAGACTTATTTTGAGCTTACATTTACCACTCCCTGCTAACAGTGCTAGCAGAGACAGCACAGAATCTGTAGTTATGGAATGTACACATGCAGATAAGCAAAAAATTCCTTGCTTAATGTGGAAAATATGCTTACCGCAAGCGCAGTATATGGGCAGAGGGCAATTTTTAGCAAATAACTGAGATTACCATAACCTACTTTGATCAATCTTACTAATAAATTATCAACCGAAAATCTTACCGAAAAAGGTTTTATGGCATTCATGACTGTAGGCACTATCCACTGTAAAACAAAGACAAAAAAAACGAGTAAAAAATAAGATTAGAAATGAGATTAAAATAAGGCATCTAGAACAAAAGTAAACAAGGAAATATTTTATCTGTATCAACTTTTTATAAGTTTTGCCAAAAGTTATTTTTGCCATGTATTCATTAATTTTTCACAAACATTTGAACATTTGCCCTAAATACATCTTAAAGTATGTTATAATCGCAACACACAGAGCAAAGGATTTTGACAATCAATGAAACTGGTTTCCAGGTATGTGGTCTTAAAGAGTGGTAAAATGTTACTCTGAGATCTTCTTGTGGTCTAAAAATTACAAAGTGTCCCGCCACAAACTTCCAGAAACTTTTTATTTGTGACTTGTGATCTGTGGTGTGCTGTGATCTTTATAAAAGAAAAATTAACAGACAAGTTACCTGCTGGACGAGTCCCAAGCTCAGATGGACCAAGAACAACTGGAAAAGAAAAAGAAAAAATTATATTTTATCTTAAACGTACAGTATATCATTTGTCATTTGTGTATTTTTCCCTTTGAAGCAACAAAAGTGCTCAAAATCTAAAAAAGGGTGCTTAACAACTAACCTGATGAAGTTTTAGCGCAGTGAATACTGTATATTCCCAGAAAACAATATTCTACGATCCCGATTTCAATTCAACAGTTGCTGAGTCATGTTTTGAATTGCGCCCGAAGTCAGCGTCCGGGACATGTTCTCACTGAGCCGATTGCAGCTTCACGATGTCACGCACTGAACCGGCGAATTATAGCAACCGTGTGCGCGTGTGCGTCGTGTCAACGCTTGTGCGCACCCATTTACGGCTTCGCCATATTAAAAACGAACTACTAATGGAAATTTCCAAAAATTCTTTGAAAATGACCTTTTTTTTATTGTTTTCTTCAAAATGACAGCATGCCAGAAGGAATAATTTTACAGGGAGTTTAGTGCCATTACTATCTTTAAGCCAATTATGCTTTTCAACAATAATTTTGTCAGTTACTTTTTGGATAGCTGCAAATGATCTACTCTACCTTTAATGTACCCGAAATATTTGCATTGTCCAACATGAAATAAGCCCATGGTTATGAGGGGCACAGGGATGTAGTCAAGTCCATCACAAGTCCCTGCAAGTCCATCACAAGTCCTCCAGTCCCAATTCAACTCACAAGCTATTCCAATGAGCTTTGACAAAGGCATTCCTTTGTTATTATTCATAAGATGGAATGTTGCGTTGGGGTGTTGTAAATCAAATTAGGTTTTGCCCTTCACCGACGTATAAATACTGAGGTAACACATTGAGTATACAGTGTTTATACGTCGGTGAAGGGCAAAACCTAATTTGATTTACAACACCCCGACGCAAAATTCCATCCTATGAATAGTTAATGCGGTACCCGCTGCTATGTACATCACATTCAAACCAGCCAACCGATCCCGTTAGCTTGGTGGTCGAGTGGTAAGATGTCTGCACTAGAAAGCAGGAGGTCATGGGTTCGAGTCCCACCCGAGTGATTTTTTCCAACTTTCACTCGGGAGGTAACACACTGAGTATACAGTGTTTATACGTTGGTGAAGGGCAAAACCTAATTTGATCCTTTGTTATTGTTCATCTGCTGTTTCTTGTGACTGGACTTGCGAATGGACTTGAGATGGACCTGTGATGGACTCGACAGCATGCCTGGAGTGGCACTGGTACAACATGGCACTAAAGTATGATGGGAATCGCTTTCTGACTTACCAGTTCAATGATGCGGCGCAACAGGAAGCGCTTGCGAATCCTGGGGCTTCTGGGGAAGTTCAGCTCATAGCACAGGGTGGGAGCAAAGGCAAAGTAGTACAGATCTGTAGGCGTAACAAAAAAAATTGAGAAACCATCAAGGTTTGTTATCAAACAGCGTTTCTATAGCCTTGTTTGTTTCATTTGGACTTAAAGCTATAGTCCATCATTTGCAGCTATCCGAAAAGTAACTGGCGTAATTATTGTTGAAAAACATACTTGGTTGAAAGATAGTAAGGGGACTAAACTCCCTGTGAAATTATTCTTTCTAGCAAGCTGTCATTTTGAAGTAATCAACAAAAGAATGCATTTCCAACTGTGCTTCTTACGACGCACCGTAGGAAATTTAAACTAGTACTTGGTTTTGTTATTCGGCGAAGCGCGCGCAAGTATTCGCATGACGCACACGCACGCGCGGTTGTTATAATTTGTCGAATCAGTGCGCGACATCGCGTAGCTGCAATCGGCTCAGTGAGAACGTGTCTCAGACGATGAATTCAGACCCAATTCAAAACATGATTCAGCAACTTCTGATTTGAAAGTGAGATCCTAGAATGCTGTTTTTCTCGGAATAAACAGCTGAAGCTGAGCTGAAACTTCATCAGGTTAGTTGTTCAGTACCCTTCTATAGATTATGAGCACTTTTGTTGCTTCAAACGAACAAAATGCACAAGTTACAAATGATGGACTATATCTTTAAATCTGATGATCTATAATAACGAGCTTTGGTGCAAGGTTTCGGCAAAGGCTGATCTCCGGACTACATCACTGCTCTTTAAGCTTATGCCAGGACTCACCTTTGAAATTGAGATTGTCTGGGTACTTGACAAGCTTGCTTTGCTCGACAGTCACAGAGCCATTCTCTTGGGTTTGCACAGTTTCTTTGGATTCCTGGTTGCTGTTTACTGAAACAAAAATAATGAAACATAGCTACAGTAAAATGCCACTATGACTAAAACGATGGGGTCCATACATTTAAAAAAAAAAAGCAAGCCCAGCAATTGGGCCAAGGAATGTCTTAAAGGTAGAGTAGATCATTTGCAGCTATCCAAAGAGTAACTGACCAAATTATTGTTGAAAAGCTTTCTTGGTTTAAAGTTAGAAATGGCACTAATCTCCCCGTTAACTTGTTCCTTCTGGCACGCTTTCATTTTAAAGAAACAACAAAGGAAGACCATTTCCAAAGATGCATCAAGTGATGCATTTTTGGAAATTTCCATTAGCAGTTGGTTTGTGATTCGGCGAATCCTTGAATGGGTGACAGAAGCGTTGACACGACGCACACGCACGCGCGGTTGCTGCTATTCGTCGGTTCGGTGCGTGACAACACGTAGCTGCAATCAGCTGAATAAGAACGCTTCCCGGATGCTGAGTTCGGGCGCAATTCAAAATATGACTCTGCAACATTTGAACTGAAATTGAGATCCTAGAATACTGTTTTCTCGGAATACACAGCATTCACTGAGCTAAAACTTCATCAGGTTAGTTGTCAAGCACCCGTCTTTAGATTTTGAACACTTTGGTTGCTTCAAACAAACAAAATTCCTTAAATACTCTACCTTCAAGGTGCATCTGGGAGACATTCTCTAGAAGCCTTACCTTCTTTCTTGTTCTTCTGCTTCCAGTTACTGCCTTTATCTTTCCCAGTCTTTGAGATGCGTCTCCGGGCCGCTCTCTCGGCTTGCAGTGCCTCGCGACACCAGCGGTTGACTGCCGTGTAAGAGATCATCTTCAGGAACGTGATGGTGTACATTCCGCTGGCGCAAACGGCACCGACTGAAGCAAGGAAAATGAAAATAGATGAGCAAGCTCGTGCAGGGACCATTAGTCGACTAGTGGTTGATTTGGAAGAGTATACTCTCGGTCACAGCGGGAATACACATGTACCCTTACACCCGATGAATTCATGTAATTTAAACATGGCGAAAGAGTAAACATGCAAAAAAGGCTTTTCTCATTAATTCTTGATTCTGAAATTTATTGTTGTGTTCTTTATCATCATAAAATGATAGATTTTACATTAAAGATTTGTTCTGTTACAACGAATTAACTTATTTTGGCAGCCATTTTGTGAATGCCAAATAACAGAATTAACCGCAATGCCCACACAATATTTTCCTACTCTTGAGAGTATCGAGCGTGACGAACACGAACGCAGCCACAGATGTTGTTTGGAAATGACCAGGCTTAGACCAATCAAAATCACAGGATAAAAACAGCAACTTTTTTTAAATTCCTAACAATGATATTTCTCAATACTATTTATCAATTCAATTTGAGTTTCAAATTGCTTACACGGTTGGGGTTCAACAATAGTGATGACCACAACCGGGAAAATGATGAGTGTCGCCAAGTTGATGAAGGTGAGGAACTTGGCAGCTGTCTCTTTGATTATGCCCTGAGAAAGAAAGGAAAGTTCCAACAAAGGAGAATCCTAAACGATCATGATCATCATACCGTGCAATATTATAAAGGCACTGTTTTCAATCTCAGCCCATCAAAGTTTTTATGCTGATTACGGAGATGGCATTTTTACTCATTTATGAAAGCTCCTTGAGAGGGACATGATGCGCGTCACGAAAATGTTGATGCACGTGGCAATCTGTAAGTGATGTCAATCGAGAGAGGCCTACTCAATGCAGCATACACGTTGTGAACGTGTGTGTGTGTACATTAACCACACATTACAAATACACAAATCGTCACCGACACCACGAAGTAACACCCATCTATATACCAGTAAAAACTAGCAATCGGAGAAAACGGCAACTAAAATTGAACGCCTGCTAAAACAACACTTTGCGTCAAAACGAAAGAGTATTTTCAGTTGGGTTTCTCGTTGTGGACACTTGATGAATTGAATTGATTAAATCTGCTGTTTTTCACCCGTTTGTGTATTAAATAAACAAGAAATAAGAGAAAAAGATGAGTGTTAGTTCGTGAAACCGAAAAGGCTGCGAAACTGTAAATTTTCGTTTTCACGAAGTAACACTCTTCAATGTATTCAACACGAGGAAAGTGCAACTTCAGGTCAGCGCGCGCGCGCTCATACAACTTGTTACAAGAAGAGTGTTACTTCGTGAAAACGTTTTTGCTCACTTATGAGCAGAGTGCAATGGTAAATGGAACTTGAGTGTTACTTCGTGAAAACGAAAATTGTCACTTTTGCGCAAAAGTTGCCATGGATACTTAGCGTAATTATTAAAGTAAAGCTCTTGAAGCTTTGAAACTTCGTGCAATGGTAGGCCTTGATGAATAATGTTTAAAAATCAAAAAAACTGAAAATCGAAAAAAAATATGGTTTAACACGGTAGAGTGTTACTTCGTGGTGTCGGTGACGAAATGTTGTTTCTTACACCTCCACAGAGTACAAACCACTGTGTGTCTGGATCACAACTAGCACTGAACAGCTCGATTTTTCGGGGACAAAATTATGACCCCCGATATTTGTTCTTGCATGGTTCTCGCAAGAATAACACAGAAACGCCAAGTTTTTAAAGGATGATTGAGTGGATGTTTATATTTTTACTTTTAACTGCTCTTTTATTTGATATAATTTCGTTTAAAATGTTTTTTTATAGCCCGATTGGGGGCATCCCAGGCCGTAATGTCCCTTTAAGCACATCTTACCTTGGCTACAATCTTCTCCAAGGCAAACTGGATGACCACAAAGACATTGATCACTGGGGGCATGGAAATAAACATGAAATTCTTACTGAAAAGTTCAACGAGATGAACACACTTACAGCTGTATCGCATCCCACATACACGTATCCATTGCACACTTAAATCACGGCATGGCTTGGGATACTGAATGAATTATGTGCGTAAGTGCACATAATCGGCAGCAAAAATGCAAGATGGACGAACACTCTAAAGACCAGTTCAAACCTGGCAGGAAAGCAAACGTGAATCCAAATTTTTCGATATCACAGCAATTATTCGTTCTGCGAATTCGTAAGAGTTGAACACATCTCAACTTTGGCAAATTAAATAATCACAATAATTTTGGGAGGCTAATCATCCTTACTCGCAGCTGAGAAGCTGAATTGCATAGGACGCGGCTACAACGTGGTCGAGCTGCAGGCATGTAAAGGCGCCTTTGGCAGCCAGCCATATGACCACAGAGCACAGCCAGAGATCCATAGTGTTTGTTTTTTTCGTCGGGAGGAAAACCAGAGGGCCCAGAGAAAAACCCTCGTGGCACAGGAGAGAACCTACACACATCTCTACTCAAATATGGTCATGGTCATAGTGGCCATAGGCTCCGTGCGCCAACAAAAGAGGGCGCCCTTTTACCTAGCAACGACGTCCCATGGGCGGGACATTTCGCTGGTTGACTCGCACCAATCTTGTGTGTGACGCACATACACCAGGGGATTTGTACTATGTACACACAGTGGCAGCGCTTTGCAGCAAATGAATTGCAGTCAGGCAAGATGGCGTCGGTCAGTCACCCCCAACTGTACTCTCTTTGCTGGTGAGGGGGTACTTGTGAACGGAGCAGATAGTGGCGAGAGGCAAGCACTTCACGTACTAGCCACCCATGCCATCCAGTGAAAGTGTCATGACGTTGAACTTGCTTTCCATTTGCATTCACTTGAAGTGTAAACCCCCCCCCCCCCCCATTTGCAACGTGACTTGTGCAACAAGGCAATGCTAGCAGGCAACTGGAATTAAACTGACTTACATGCAACCAGGGTAGCATTTGGTACGCTGTAGGGATTCCGAAGGAAAATCTTCAGCATTGAAATTGGGTCCACTAAAATGCCATATCTGGAAGAAGAAAAAAACACAATCAAATCTCTACAATATTAAAGGGAATGTACATCATTGGCTTTTGCTGTAATTTTCAGAAATTAACTACTTGAGGGGTTACTATAATAGGTCAAATATTGTTACACTGACATGTTTGAAGTTTTGTGTTCGAAAATGCTGGAAAAAAACAGGAAAAACGAAAATGTTCAAGTAGTCTGGTTCCCTGACTCCACTGAGGATAAAATGGATGAATTTATAGATGCCGGAAAATTGTAAGGTAAGGGAACCAGTGTAGCTGGCCTGCACCCGTTCATGAACATGTTACCAATAGCAAACAAAATTTGGACTGAAAAAATGGTAAACTTGAAGCAGAAGTTGAAAAATAGTTACGTTTTTCCAACGGTGATCGGCCGACCACTGTTGGAAATGTATACAAAAATACCAATTTCTTGAAAATGACTTCACACCAGGAGCCATAATTTTACAGGATGCTTTTGACTGTCATTTACCAACATCCAAGTAAGGTATTTCGTAAAAACTTGATAGTTTTATTTTTCGATGTTTGCAAATGTTGTATTTTCCCTTTAAGTACATGTTCATTCTTCATGGTCCATTAGACATGGTCTTCATGGTCCATTTCTCTAGAATGGTAAAAAACAATCTCAAATACATAAATTTGTGGGATATTTGGTAATGGGTGGACACATAGGCAATTCCTTTGTTACGGACGTTTACATACAGAGCGCAAGACCAATTTGGAACAACAAAAAATACATTGTAATACTTGCAGTGAAAGCAAACGTTAGATATTTGGTACAACTCTAGCTTGGGCCTTAATGTGCAACATGACATGGTTAAAGGGAAAATACAACATTTGCAAACATCAAAAAATAAAACTACCAAATCATTTTGAAATACCTTGCTGGACTGTTAGTGAAGGACATTGTAAAGCATCCTGTAAAATCATGGCACCTGGTATACTGTCATTTTCAAGAAAAGTGGTATTTTTGTATCAATTTCCAACGCTGGTCGGCCGACCAGCGTTGGAAAAAACTGGCTTTTTTTCAAATACTGGCCCCAATTGACCATCGCACTTGTTTGCAATCGATTACACACCTATGAACGGGTACAAGCCAGCTAGACTGGTTCCCTGACCTTACAATTCCCCAATGTATGTAAGCTGCTCTGTTTCTTCTTATATGGAGTCAGGGAACCAGACTACAGGAAAATGATTGTTTTTCTGGGTTTTTATAGCATTTTCAAACTCAAAACCTCAAAAAATCAGTGTAACTGTATTTGCTATATATTTCCAACCCCCCAATTCCATCCATTTCTGAAAATTACAGCAAAAGCAAATGATGTATATTCCCTTTAATGTAATGTTAGCTGAATTCATCAATGAGATATAAGCTCTGTCAATGACCATTATGGACGGTATGCTTTAAGACATAGGTCTCTGATTTTCAGTACGCATTGATTGGTCAGAGGCTCGGGTAATTATCAGCATCCACACTCCAACTGGTCTTAAACATAGTGTTTAAAACCGGCCAAGCACAAATTCATTCCCTTATTCATGTGTTAAATTCATAGTAGACCGAGGATTTAACCAAACATGATTCTCTTCCTTACTTGATCAGATTCTCCAGAACAAGCCGTCCACTTGACATAGCCTGCAAAATAGAAACCAATGCAATGAAGTCAAATGTCAGATATACAAATCTCAGACAAAATACATTGCTTTTGAAAAAAAAACCAGATGACCACAAAATGGATGGGTCAGCTGTCCCCTACCCCTCGCCTTCCCGAACATAGGATCTGATCGTTTGACATCAAAGTATGACGTGACCATCTGGTTTCCCCTTGATCGGCCACCATTGCAGCAGGCAAGCATTTTTTTAGCAACTACGGCTTGTCGTGTAAACTAGACAGCAGGGCTTATTTTCATGTGCAATAACCACAAATTCTATATAAAATGGCATAATGGTCACTACCTGTGCCATGAACGGTTGTCATAATCAAGCCGACCCAGCACTGGGTGTTGGTTCTGCGTTTTTCTCTCATTTTTCGCCATCCATCACAGATGTGAAGGCTTGCCTACAGCCTACTGCGTGCGGTGCTATACAGATCTTTGCCTACTACAATGGCGCTGAATTTCCCGTTACCTGGATGTAGGCTTTGTCACTTTTGTCAGTGATATGCAAACATGGCCCAATGGCATGGCAGTACTGTTAAAGGGAATGTACAACATTTGCTTTTGCTTCAATTTTCAGAAATAAATGGATTTGGAGGATTCGTATGTTAAAGAAAATATAGTTAAACTGACTTGTTTCGCGTTTTGGGCTTGTAGATGCTGGAAAAACCAAGAAAACCTATCATGTTCTTGTAGTCTGGTTTCCTGACCCCACTTAAGATGAAACGGAGCAAGTAATACACTTTTGGGAATTGTAAGGTCGGAGAATCAGTCTATGGCTTGTACCCCTTCACAGGTGTGTAATCAGTTGCAAAGAATAGTCAGAATAACTAAATATGGACAATTAAGAGCAGTTTGTGAAAAATGGCCAGTTTTTTCCAACGCTGGTCAGCTGACCAGCGTTGGAAAAATACAGTTTTTCTTGAAAATGTCAGCAAACCAGGAGCCACGAGTTTAATTGATGCTTTAGACTGCAAGTCTCTAACAATCCAGTGAGGTACATGTATTTCGTGAAAATTTGATCATTTCATTTTTTGATGTTTGCAAATGTTGTATTTTCCCTTTAACAGAAATTTTCATGCTTAGCATACTTCACAGGTAAACAAGGAACTTGTTATGCGCATGCGTACATCCCGTAACTAAGGATTCTGTGCTTACAGGGGTAGTGCAGAGTTTTTAGCACAGTTAACACAACATGGTGATTGTAGGCACGTAATTCTGTGGTTAGCAGAGCTATGAAATTGGACACAGACTTAGGAAGTACTAGTTATGAATGACAGGTACGTCAACAATAACAGCAACAAAATCCTTGTGGATTACATGTGTGAAAGATCTGGGTCAATTCACATGGCAAAATTTCATCATCTGTCCAACAGCAAGTCCTCCCATCCCCAACAAAAATAGACCAAACACAGTTGTTCAACTAACATCTGAACAACTGTTATGACAACAGAACAACAGTAGGGACAATCACAATGTCCATTTAGGCACTGGTTCATTCCCGCCCCTCATTCGGAGCTGAGGAAGCGACAAGGATAGATCATGAAACTGTTCTCCACCCTGTAAGTTTAAGTCCAGCTGTCTTGTTTCAACCTTCTCGAACTCTTTATGACTGACATTACATACATGTATATTTCCTTCCATTCCAAATAGTGGGGCAGATAGGGGAAATAGTGGGGGAATTGTGCCTTTGATGATAAAAGCATGATATTTGGCACACACAGTCAGAGTATGTCATGAGAAAGATATCTGGCTATAGGACCATCGCCGATCTGTCCATTGCAAAAATATAGGAAGAATAACAAGCAATTTTCAAAATGGCTGCCAATACTTGTTATTTTGCCTCTATTTTATTCGTACTAAAAGCATGCATCCTTACAGCTTTCCCATAAACCAAAATATACTTTTCATGACTTGATCCAAGACATATTAAAAAGTGGAAAATTTAAAAGAAGGAAAATCTTACCAGGAGTACTATGCAGAGATTTAGGAACCCTCGGTAGTTGTTGAAGCCGCTGGTGTTACTCAGTAGGGAGCTCTGATCAGTGTGGATCCTGGGTACAACAAAGGTATTACAACGATATAAATCTGGTTAATAATTAACAGGTTCCACAAAAGAGCATGGGATAGTATACAAATATTACATGGTTTGAGGGTGGATAGTTGATATTACTTTACCTCCTACATTGTACATATTCATGATTGAGAGCCATATTCTCATTCGTCCATTCGCCTCATGTGTCAGCCGCTAGTTTTGCTGTTTAACAAGCGCAAACATGAGGATTAACGCAAAGGGTAAATATTCTACTACGCATGTGCTTTTCAAAGCAATCATGGAACTAGAGCACCGGGGTAACGCGCACACGCTAACATTGCCCTATCTAAATGAAAAGGTGGCAGCACATGCGCGGTAGTGTTCTCGTGGCACAGGAGAGAACCAACGCACAATGAACATTGCCCTAGCAGCATGCAGCAGCTACATGTACATGGAAAGATGAGATGGGGCACAACAACATTTTGTGGAGAACAGTTATGCGTAACTTCATGAAATTTTGTGAAAATGTATGAGGTATAGCAAAACAAATACAACATGGTTTAGTTCGGGTTTGCCTTGGGAACTAGACTGTCAACTGCCAATACCTTGGGGAGCTAATATCGACCGTCCACCTTCAAACCATGTTTCATTTGTATATTAGTTCCCCAAGGTATTGGAAGTTGACAAAACTAATTCCTGTTATTTCTTGAATGTGGTCCTTGGAGGGGTGACCACTGCCTCAATCCTGCAAAATCCTCCGGCAATATGTTGAGGCAGAGCCAGTGCCATCCTGGAGCAGTGCTAGGACTTCAAGTATAATCTAGGCCTAAATTTATGCACGGCTGGGCATAAACAACACAAAGTCCGGCCCAAGACCTTGACATAGTGCATCCTCCAAAATCAGCCACATATTTTTGCCGTATAGTCTAAATCCTGCAAAATCCACCATTTTGCAAAGAGGATTTTGGGGGATTTGGGAAGGTAGGGTTAAAATTTGAGGATTCAGGACTGAATTTGCTAAGTTATCTTCTCTGCTCGGCAGTTTAATTCCACTCACGGCTTGTCAGGTGGGCCAGACAGCTCTGGTGGGTTGGCAGACTCTTTGCTGTCCTCTCTTTCTTTCTTGTCAGCCGTGGGCGGATTCTCCTTAGACTCCGCCCCCTCCTTCCGTTCACTGATCTGCCTTTTCCTGACCTTGGGGTCAGGGCTGCTGGTCTTGCTGGCATCCTTGGCCATCTTTCTAATCTGAGGGATTAAAAGAAAGAAACTACCAAATTACGTGTGCATACACTCCTAAGTCCTAACAGCGAAAATGATATACGAAGGACTATTTCTATTCACTCCAGGTAATGCTGCAGATATTAAGCCCATCTGTAGCAATGCCCCTAGACCTGGCGAACTCCCTTACCACACTACGTTACGGTCATAATGCAATAAAGAGGGCGTCCAACCTGGGCTAGCAATGGCCCTATAGTTGGGGGGACAAGGAACAACTGCAGTCGGGGATGTTGCAACTTCACAGTTGGGGAAATCCCAACTATAGTTGGGACGATGCTATAGTCTGGGTACACGCCAAGCATCAGGCATCTAAAAGTTACATATCAACTGATATGAACGAGTCAGCAGCCAGTTCTATCAACCGGACGCTGACAGCTTCCCACACATCGAACTAAGAGAGATGCAAACCTCTTTACTTCAGCAGAAATCAAAAAAGCCATCGACAGTCTGGGAAACAACAAAAGCCCTGGAAACGACAACATAAAGAGAAGAAGAAGATTGAGCTGGCTCGGTCATCTACTGCGTCTGCCACAAGACGCACCAGCAAAGATTGCTCATGAGGAAATACAAAGAAAAGTGAAAAGACCGGCAGGGGGGAAGAAACGAACATGGTTAGACACAATTAACAACGACCTCAAACCCCTAGGCAGCATAGACCTGAGCAAGGAGACCAATGACAGAGCTGGCTGGAGACAACAGATCAGACGCGCAATGTTTAATTAAAATGAGTTGAGTGAGAAAACAGACGACGATATCAACTTTAAAAAGTGCACTTTGACATGTTTGGACGATTTGTAGAAAAAAAAAAGGAGTCGCGAATCGATAAAAAATGTTCTCCTCGGTACATCACTCGGACCGTGTGAATTTGAATATGTTGTTCGTACTCTACAGTCATATAAACTCTTACATTGAACGTTTGTTGAATCAAAATAAGTTGTAGAGTCTCTAACATGTCTAACATTTGAAAATTCGCCAACGAATGACAGTATGTTTTTGCCTAATTCCAGAACGCGCGTGCAGCCGTGCACGTAGGACCCAACTACACGCGCGTTAATTGATTTTATGTAACGTATTCTGTGATGGGTCAAAGGTTTTCGGTCTGTGCTTGTTCGCTGCAGACAAAAGTTTCAAAATCATTTACGTTAATTCTCTTTTTAATATTTGCTGGAATTCTCTTGAATGAACTGTTATTTCGAAAAATTAAATACTACTTTATCTTAGCTGGAGTTACCCAGCCCTAAATTTTTTCATTGGGTAAATGACAACCCAACGAAAAAAATTAGGGCTGGGTAACTCCAGCAAACTTTATCTGAAAATCATGTGCTTGATTCAGGGTGGTTCTGGTTGAAAAAATTCATTTTCTTGCGTGCTTTTGTTTTTGGCGCGAAGCAGTTTTTGATCGATTCGGAACTGCTTAAACAGTTAAACCAATATATATGCTTATAGGCCTATCCAAACATTTTGGATACTATCATGACTATGCACATGATCCAATACAGCTGTACAGGCATGACAGGGAGAGAGATCTAGAGCTTGTGACTGAGCCTGCTGAGCTGAGGCAGTTTAAATCAAGGTAGTGTATATTTTGCCGGAGGTAACGCCGGCAAACTAACGTTTACTAAAGGTTTGCCGGCGGCAATCCATATCAACAGAGGGCGCTGTACTCTTTAAGATAGGGCTGAATTATAAGATGTATTAAATTCCCTCCGAAGTTGTGTAGCTCAGTCGGTGCAGTGGTTAAGCAATAGCTCTAGTGAGTGGGATGTCCCGAGTTCGAATCCTGACCCCCGCCACAATTTTAAGGAATTTTTTTCCCATCCCCAAATAAATAAGAATATTCTTCTTTTATTATTTTAATATGTCTCAAACATTTTATTGCAGAGTATTACTTTTTCTTTTTCAGATTTGTGGCTCTGGAGGATTTTTTTTAAAGGGAAATAAAGTCCAAAATTATAAAATGGTCTGATTCCCATCTTGTAAATACAAAAATACAACGATAATATTGGCATGGAGCCAGCCTAAAATTTGTCACCGGAAAATGTTAAGGTACAAAAAAACAGTAACTGCGCATGTTCAGTGCATATCCGGCAAACTAACGTTTACTGAAGGTTTGCCGTCTCCGGCAAAATATCCACTGCCTTAAATCAAACGATTTTGGGTCAACTCGTACCCGAGTCAACTCGTACCCGAGTCAACTCGTACTCGAGTCAACTCGTACCCGAGTCAACTCGTACCCAGGTTAACTCGTACCCGAGTCAACTCGTACCCGGGTCAACTCGCACCCAGGTCAACTCATACTCCCCTCCTTACGCAAAAGACTAACAACATTAAAAACTTAAATCCCATGCAAATCCTCATCCATTCCTTAATGATAACTCTCTATGATTTAACCATGGACAATCTACCCATCAAGTTACGCTTAATTAGCTATCCCCTTACCGTGCTTGTACGAATTTTTAGGAGTTACAATGTAACTTGACACGAAGGAAGTGCCGATCGTCGGCGGCCAGATGAAGAAATAAGGTCTAGCGCCCTCAATGGATTGATGCGATCATTAGTCGTGTTACCTTCCCCGTCACCCTTGTTGTCTGAACGTAACAAAGTCTGGGTTTCAGACTACATCAAAAGCAAGATGGCGGCGCCCAAGGCTTCCAAGAATTTACTCTTTGCTGCGTCTTTTCTGGTTTCTCTCCTTGTATTCTTCTTAGCTTATCTAGCCTCCTCCTCCTTGGGCTTTGGTACGCTGTCCATTAAAAGAGCTGGGATACTTTTGGGAGTTTTTGTACCCGTAATTTTCTTGATATCCTATTTTTTGGTGTGGCGAAGTCTTGTTTTGAAGCCGATGCAAAATGTACGGGGCAGGGAAAAGGGCCTGGTTTTGCATCAGTTGTTTCGCACTTGGGCTGCGGTGTTGTTCATATTTCTTCTATTTGCACACTTAAGCCAACCGTGTGTTCTTTTCCTGGGAAAAGTCACCGAAGTCGGCACTGTATCCTATCTGTCCTTCGTGTGTTTTGGAGCATTATTTATACTCGGGACTGTTGTCTTAATATTTGAGATCGTGGAATTTGTTCTGAAGTTAACAATACTGAAGGGTCTTCATTGGCAGTGGTTCCAGGAGAATTGGCTTATTCTACGGGTTGTTGTGGTGGCGGTGATCACCAGTGTTTTGGTGGCAGTGTCTTTGATGACTGCGGCTAAAGGTCCTATGATCAAGCCATTGCAGCTGCCAGTCAGAAAGCTTCCATTGTCAATGAATGGACTACGGATTGTGCAGCTGTCAGACATTCACCTTGGACCCACTGTTGGCCGGTCACAACTTCAGCAAGCTGTCGACATGGCCAATGACTTGAAACCTGGTAGGGCATCATTTACATGTAATACTTACCTTACGTTTGTGAGCTTTTTACATGTACATGTATCTGCTGTGAGATTAAATTGCAGAATATAAGAATTTGATCATATGGTGATTTGAAAGTCTAAGGGATTTCAAACATGGGAAAGAATGTTGCATCCTGATGCCACTTCAGCAGTTGTGTACAAAGTCTATGGAGAGTCTTTCCTAACAAAATTGGAAATGTTTCTCAGTCCCTGATTCATGTCTTTTCAACATTTTTGCAATGACTGACCTTAGTTGAGATGATATATGAAAAAAAGTGGTGTCACGTTTCATTATTCTTTCCCAAACATGGTCAACAGCATATGATTATCACATAAATATACCCATTGCCATGATTGTGTACATTGTAGTTCTACTTAGCGTTGGTACTACGGTACCGTAGTTCCAACGCTCCACTCAGTAGAGCTACCCATTGCACTGCTTTCAGCATCCAATTTTGATCTTTTTTTTTGTTATTTTAAGTCAGTAACAAGGAATGCACAAGAGTGCATACACACTGCCCAATAACAGAGAAACATGCTTTGTGAGACAAATTATAACAAATATAAAAATGTTCTAGTAAAGCAACAATAAAATGTATATCGGATGAAACATGAAACATCATGGTGTTTGTTTTGACTGCAACAGATATTGTAGTGATCACTGGAGATCTTGTGGACTCTACCGTGGAGAATTTGGTGGAAGCAGTCAGCCCTCTGCAGCAGCTAAAAGCAACTCACGGTGTCTTCTATGTTACAGGTAGGTCAATTTGCCTACAATTTAGAAATTAATTTCCCTAGTTCTGACTACGTTGTTATTGACACAAACACTTTGAAACAGGAAGCATTAGTTCTAGGAAACAATGACTTGTTGGTCACCGTGCTGTGCAGATGACTTAAGTGCACGCACGCTCTGTTCAACGTAATATACAACATTTGCAAACATCAAAAAAGAAAACTACCAAATAAATTATTATGAAATACCTTACTCGACTGTAAGTGAAATAATAATCTCAAGCATCCTGTGAAATCATGGCATCTGGTGTGCTATCATTTTCGAGGAAAGTGGAATTCTGGTATCAATTTCCAATGATGGTCAGCCGACCATTGTTGGAATACAACTGACTTTTGTATCAATTTCCAATGATGGTCGGCCGACCATCGTTGGAAAACAACTGACTTTTTTCAAATACTGCCCCCAATTTTCCCACATTGTATGTACTCTGGTTCCCAGACCTGACAATTCCAGTTTCGTCTGAAGCAGGGTCAGGGAACCAGACTACAAGAGCAGCATTTTTTTCATGGTTTTTTCCAGCATCTATTAACACAAATCTTTAAACAGGTCAGTGTAACATTATTTGCTATAAAGTACGTACCCCCAAATCCATCCATTTCTGAAAATGACAACAAAAAAAGAGGCAAATGTTGTATATTACCTTTAACGCATTAGCAACTGTATTACATTGTATATAACAATGTGTTTATTCACCTATGAATCAATAAAACCATAGAATGCTTGGGCAGCTTGGAGCGGTACAGGTGTGACCTAATGCATGGTTGTCTCCTACAGTGTAGGCCTAAAGCGACGGTTCGAAACAATTTCTGGTTCCCAATTTTCACCGTGCAATACATATGGGAGATTAGGTGAACATATTCTATTTGAGATTTCCCAGAAATTGAAAATAAATAAATCTGGAAACAATGAGAAAATGGGACAGTCAGACAGAGCTTCGAAGCTGACTGTATTCATCACTCAGAATGTGATGAATGCCGTTAGTTTTACTTTTCAACGCGTGAAAAATCAATGAAAAAGTGGGCCCCGTGCTATCACTACGTAAGTCCGGGTTTGTGTGGAACGGTCATCCCGAGCAACGCAAGACCACTTCTACGGCATACAGGCAAGGCAGTTTTGGCCATAACATTGACTAATGTGTTAATATTTGCCACAGGAAACCATGAGTACTACACGTTTGATGTGGACCATTGGCTGTCCCATCTGAAGTCTCTGGGCATAGTTTGCCTGCCCAACAGCTTCGTGAGGATCGTCCAGCCAGACAAACCGCAGGACTGGTTCTATCTGGCAGGGACCAACGACATTGAGGGAAAAAGAATGTATGACACGTAAGGCTCAGCGAAAGTCTGTTTGTGTGCATATTAAAAAGCTCGAGGTTTCTGACGTGTCCCACTTCAAGCAAAGCTTTCTTGGGGAATGCCTCAAAATTTACCACCTGAGATTTATCCATGGAGGAAGTCCTTCTTTCATAGTTGGAAACCCTGCTCAATTTGCAATGTTTAACAGTTGTCAAGTTAGAAGCCTCTTCTGTGTATAAATTAGACCAACAGGTCAACTATATCCCAAGGCCAAACGGCCTCAGAATCGGAGCGTGCTGGCCACTTCAAATCCAACAGTGACATTACTCAATAGGAATACCTGCCAGCGTCTCAGAATTGGCACTTAAGCTGCTGCTTTTGACTGCTTGCAACAAGGTCCCACAGATTTGTTGGATGTACCTTGTTGTTTAACTCGCGGGGGAGGTGGCTTGTCGCCCCACTTCGCGGGCGAGTCGCCTGCTTTGCGATCTATTGAAATTGCAGTATCCAACAAGTTAAAACGGTCTAGCCCAAAACTACCCACGTTAAAGTGGTTCTTCTTTTAGGAAATGAAATCAAACCTGATCAACATTTCTATTTTTTTTTATCTGAAGGGAGCATCATTTTGATCTCGATAAAGCTCTTGACGGTACCGACAGTGATCATGCAATCATCCTATTGGCCCATCAGCCCAGGGCTGCCAAGCAAGCTGTCCAATCACAGTACGACATTAGCTTAATCCTCTCAGGTGAGTGATCGTGCAATCATCCTATTGGCTCATCAGAACTTTCCAAGTTACAGAATTTTAAACACAACCACTGTTTTAAAGTTCTGTCCACGGATCACAAGAAGGCAAGTATTCTTTCAGCAAAACGAAAACAAATCACATAGGGATGTGTGTGAATTGTTTTCATTTTGCTGACAGAATGCACACTTTTTTTGTGATCCGTGGACAGAACTTTAAAACGGTGGTTGTGTTTAAAATTCCGTAACTTGGAAAGTACATGACTGATTTGAATGATTCTTCTTCTAAAAGAAAGCTGATGAATTGGGCTCTCATATCCTAGATGTTGAAAGTGCTACATGCAGAACTTCACTAAAACAATATTCCCGAAATTTGGACTTCGCTTTTTTGACTCACCCTGTCATGCCTGTATAAGCATCACATTACTACTAAAGTCTACAACCCGATCATTCCAGGTCACACTCACGGCGGACAGATGTTCCCAGTGAACATCGCAGCGTACCTCACCAATCCATATTTCGCCGGCATCTACCAACCAAAAGAAGGGACCTATGTGTACGTGTCGTCAGGGACGTGGTACAACGGCCCTCCTATGAGATTGTTTTCTAGGGCTGAGATCACTGTAATAACTCTCCTGGCATCTTGAGGTCTGCCAGGAAAGCTATCAATTATTGGGGGGTAGACATATCATGTGTGGAAAAAGAGGAGTAATTCACAATAGGGTGTGTGTGCAAGTGTCAGCTTTGAAGAGACTTTTTGAATATATCCTGTTGTAGTTAAAGGTATAGTCCATCATTTGTAATTTGTGCATTTTGTTCGTTTGAAGCAACAAACGTGCTCAAAATGTAAAGAAAGGTGCTGAACAACTAAACTGATGAAGTTTCAGCTCAGCTTCAGCTGTATATTTCGAGAAAAACAGAATTCTAGGATCTCGATTTCAAATCAAAAGTTGCTGAATCATGTTTTAAATTGGGCCTGAATTCAGCGTCCGAGACACGTTCTCACTGAGCCGATTGCAGCTACGCAATGTCGCGCACTGATCTGACGAATTATATCAACAGCGCGCACGTGTGCGTCGTGTCAACGCTTGCGCACACTTCGCCGAATAAAAAAAAGAACTACTAACAGAAATTTCCAACGGTGCGTCTTAAGACACACCGTTGGAAAGACCTTCTTTCGTTGATTTCTTCAAAATGACAGCTTGCCAGAAAGAATAATTTCAGAGGGAGTTTAGTCCCCTTCCTATCTTTCAACCAAGTATGTTTGTCAACAATAATTACGTCAGTTTCTTTTTGGATAGCTGCAAATGATGGACTCTAGCTTTAATAATTCCTCTGTTGTTTTATTCACGACAACACAAGAACAAAGGCCTTTGGAAGCCAAGGTAATACATGTACACACATTCTTATCCACACGAAAACTCCCAACTGATTTAAGAGCACAAAAACTGTACAATTTAGTCCTTATGTGTAAATGGCTTGTGATTGACTAGTGAATGACTAGTGATTGACTTGTGAATGATTGTCATGGCTTTTGATGGCTTGTGATTGACTTGTGATGGCTTGTGATGGCTTTTGACGGCTTGTGATTGACTTGTGATGGCATGTGATTGACTTGTGATTGAGTTGAGATTGAGTTGTGATTGAGTTGTGATTGACTTGTGATTGACTTGTGAATGACTTGTGATTGACTTTTCATGGCTTGTGATGGCTTGTGATTGACTTGTGATGGACTTGTGAATGACTTGTGATGGCTTGTGATTGACTTGTGATGGCATGTGATTGACTTGTGATTGAGTTGTGATTGACTTGTGATGTGTACAGTTCTGGGCTAATTGGAATCATGTGGCTTATAAAGCAAATTATATTTAAAATTTGTTTTGAAATACTGAAGATGTTACCTTTTCCTATGAAAATGTTAGAAAAGTCACAGAAAGCACAAAGGGGAAAACAATTGAGAGGAAACAGTTATTATATTCTTGCACTCAGGACTTTGTGGCAACACTATTCAGTATTGTCGGGGCGCAAATTCGTCCAGAGATCGCAAAATTTGGTGCTTGCAATTTTTTACTTACCATATTTCAAATGTCTATGTCACAAGAAATCCACAAAATGTCTCACATTTATAAAGAAACTACAGTTAACCCTGTACGTTTATGAGGCAGCTATTATTGGCCTTGCTTATACATTGTATATGTTTCTAGAAGTGATTCAAGCTGTTGATGTTTTAGCGAAAGCCATCAATGTCAGTCTAGTGCTACGTTTAATGCAGATGAAGCAAGTGAAACATTGGCGTACGAAGCAAATTTTTTTTGAAAAGGAGTGGTCAGGTACATATAGGTGTAGTGGTACTTCCCTCGCCTTCCACCGCTGTGACCAGGGTTCGAATCCCGCCTGGGCCAATATGTGGATTGGGTTTTCAGTCCCTGCCTGATTCCGTGGGTTTTCCCCAGAATATTCTTCTGGGGTTTTCCTCCCACATCAAAAATTTTAATTTCACTGAATGGGCTACCCAGTTAAAATAAGAAATAAATAAATAACATGTATGACTTGAAACAAGAGTATTACTCAAACTCGAGTTTTGAAGACCAACATTTTTCCAGCCAAATTCTTTCAGATGATAATAACATGAAAACTGCACATTGTTATTGTATAGACGTGTGCAGATTTATAGCCAACATAACATGTTAATTTGTCTTTGAGATTATCTTCATTGATAATTATTTTGTACTTCAATTTTGGTACAAGACGAGACAGTGCAAATATTAATTGACGATGCAGTTTTGTTAACAGTAATAAAAACATTGTTTTATTGTTTTATTATGGCAACATTGAGTGTGTATGATTTGTTTATGCAAATGTTCTGAAATACTCATCTCAGAACAATTATTAATATAAAAATTGTGTGTATTTCAGCATGCCAAAACCTCATTTTATTATAAGATTGCATTCTATATATATCAATTAAGAATGACATATTTTATATATAACTTGTTGAAAGATATTTATAAATACTGCTTTTAACCGCAGGTATGCAAGATGTATGTGTGTATAATTTTGCAAGTTAAATTGTTTTATTGAAGTGTGTAATTATATTATTGTATTGTAGCTTTCTTTAATTCATTAACATAGTTGAATTTAAATTCACATCTGCATGTGGGAATAGTGTCCATTGGGTGTACATGAAGGTTGTCGTACGTTTGTTTATGGTGTAAATCGAGGACACACGCGTGCAACATCATCGATGAATCGAGGACAGGAACCGAATCGAGGACAACCTCGATTAGAAAACTTGTACAAAACCAAAGAGAGCTGTTGCGAGTACAAAAATAGGAAAAGTGAAGAGGAACAAAAGAAAATCCTGGATTTACACCATTTACAAACGTGCGTGGCAGTGTTTGTGCATGTACAACTTGATATTTTGTGATGTGCTATTAGAAAAACCAATGTGCGATTGTAAATAAATCTTGATCCATTAAACAATTCTATATTTGAAACGCCATTAAATGGAACTATTATATGACTGTGTATTTTTTGACGGTAGGTAATTCCATTCAATCAATGTGCTACATCTTTTTGCAAAGATGCTTTTACCAATTTGCCTCTGAACTGCCCCATACTGCCCCGCCTGTTAATCCCTATACCACCCCAAACTGTCCCAGCATTTTATTATAAATCGATGCTTCCACTTTGAAAAATTTAATTTCCTTGGAAAATCAAACTTATGTTCTTAGGTTTTGTCAGATTTCCTTAGAATTTTCTCTTAACATTACTGAGTTTTTCCTCGCATAAGTGAAACTGAAATTCACATTGGAAATAAGTATTACTAGTCCAAGCTTAAGACAACGGCACCAGACTATATATATTGAAGTCGAATTGACATGGGGCTTTCACAAAACAGGCTCAAGACTATGGCTTGGGCTCCTTTGCGTTTTGACATTACACGGCTGTACACCTGCATGAACAGGGGCATAGCAAGGCCATTTTTATTGGGGGTTAAAAATGTCTTGAAACATCCGTGCTGAAATGTAGACATATTTTTCCCTGGCCTCCGTAAAATCATATGGGGGAGCTAGGGGCTGTTACCATCTTCTGATTTCAAAACAGCAATTATGCACATTAACGGACAATATGGCGCTTTTCAGGGTGACACATGCCTAAAATTTAAAAAAAAACAGGCATTCGTAACGGCCACTGCCACCAAAAAAAGGGCACTTGCTTAGAAAAAAGGGCACTTGTTCAAAAAACGGGGGCACTCATTACAAATATTGGGGGGGGGGGGGGGTAATGCTGGTGGAAAAAAAACACTTATGGATTTTCCTTAAAATTTCCTTGCATTTTGAATTTCCTGAAGAAATTTCCCAAGGAAGTCAAATTTTCCTGAAATAAGGACATTTCTTTAGAAGTGGGAGCACTTTGAGGAATCATCACAATGTAATGCAATGTAGGATAGATGCTAATGAGTTAATTACAGGGAATGACAAATCATGACATTTATTTCTTTTCATCAACACTGAGAACTGGTGTTAATTTCAAAGAATATCCAAATATATTAACTCTTAAAAATAAACGACTGTTAACATGAAATAAACTTGGTAACTGTCACAATCAATTTTAATTAACACTTCTATTTAGAAAAGTTTTTATCGCAAACTCCTGCAGTTTTGATAAACATTTATTTATTTATTTACATTCAGCTTTTTTTAGGTGAGGACTGGCATATGCAAACTGTGTATGTAATTATTGCAAAATAAATTAATGTATTTTCTTTATTATTTTAAATGCTGTCCAATAATGACTCAAATACAAAATGGAAAGCTAAAGTTATCGACAGTATAAATATGCAATCACACTTAATTTTATAGATTTGTAGAATTACACTGAATCAATTTTTTTTCTTTTTGTAGTAACTAGTATGCTGAAAGGTCTTTTACAACACTACATTTCAAGTGGTTAACCCTCCTGCTGTCTGAACAGTCACAGACAGTCAAAACAAATCAATCCTCTTCCCTGCCACGCCTTTTACACAGGCTAGACACCAACAGTCAGATCCTATTTATCAATCAATCTCCTACAGCGCTACTAAGCACAAAAATTTGCTTAGCACAAAAAAAAGTCCGGCTTATAAAAGCAGGTTACCAGCCAAAACTCCATGTGATGTATATTGCTCGTGATTAGTATTCAGCTGTTGCTTGCTACTAGCATGAAAATCACGTGGAGTTTTGACTGGTAAACTGCTTTTATAAGCGAGGCTTTTTTTTGTGCTAAGCAAATATTTTTGCTTAGCAGCGCCGTGAAATTGGGCCCTCTTTGGACAAACATCAAAATATAGACTTCATACACAAGTACCCCCTCAATAGTTACAAAGGGAGAGTTTGGGGGGACCAATTTGGGGGCACACTGCTGTCGGTGCCCGACGCTCACGCCGAGACACAACAAATTCATAAAGATTCATAATAAAATTAGTTAATTGTGCGAACTTCAAGCCATATGCGAACAGACTAAATGAAAATGCAGTCTAATTGGACAAAGACTAGTGATTTGTCAAATCCCAAATCAGTAATCCAATATTCATCAGCACTTTCATTTTTTATTTTTTTAGGTGTTTTTAATATTATTTTCTCTAATATGAAGCACCTTTTCGAACCGAACATTACCCCGTATTCAGTTGTGTATTTTGTGTGATTATAATATAAGTCACAAAATGAACAAAGTTGGACAAAACTTTACTTCATTCAGTTCTACACAAGTAAGATAAACAGCCAGTTTACCACGAAAAAAAATAAGAGTTTTATGATTTGTAAAACATTACGTAGCACACAGATATGCTTACATTAGCACAATAAACAGTTTTAAAATCAACGAACTAATAATGTGAACTTACGACGGAAAGTTAATAGTTATACTTTAATTCAACAATTAATTCATTAACGATATATCAAAAGTCATTAACTCAGTAACAACTCATTAGCACTGCATATTTTTAAGTTATCAATTTTCTGTCTTTTCAAAATAAAATTTCACGGTGGTGTTAACAAAAAATTCTACAACAGCACTCATGAATGGCAAATCTTACGGAATGTTTGAAGGTGTTTTTCTGGAATTGACAGAGCTGTTTGGCGTGACACAGGTCACAACACATGAACTGCACTGACCTTTAGGGTCATGTGATCCGATTCAGCCAATCAGGATCCAGCCTTTGAGCGAGAGGCCATTTCACAAGCATCGGCTTCAGTTTCTCCTCAAGCACCTATGACCACGTGCTGCAAAGCATCACTAACTGCTTTTCCTCCACCCAGGAGCAAACAGGTATGTACAAGAGCACAGGTGGGCCATTATAATTTATTCAGCCGTTTCTCCACTAATCGTTGAACTGTTTGCACTCAATTAATGCCGATAAAGTGTGGGACAATGGAGTCACAATGATGCTGGATTTGTGATTTTTATTATGCATGATATGTGCGCGGATTCACTAATGTGATCTGTTTCTTAAACATGGCTGTTTTTCCCACGGCGGTGTAAAACACGCCGTGGGCTTGAGCTGCTTATGCTAGTTGGTTGGTTGTACCACTTGGTACTTGTTTATGCAATGTATCACTTAATGTTCGTAACTTATCCGGTGCTGAATGACCGATCCAAAATGGAAATTTACAATTTTGGGTACCCCATGCAAGTATCATCGGTTGTTCAACGGAACCAGCAAGCTCCGCAACGTCAGATGTATAGTGAGCATGCAACTTTTATGCGACCCCGCGCACCGGCCAATCGGAGTCGACTTTAGAAACCGTGACGTCCTTTCGAGCAGAAATTTGGCCTAGACTGTTGATTTGACAAATTGGCTGCCGTGTTTTTGTAATACAACAATGGATTACCGAAGACCTGATAGAAGGCGCCCGCTGAATGGTCAGAATCTGGAGGTTTAGACGCAAGTCTTGTTTTGCATAATTAATCGCTGAATCCGCGAACATATCATTCCATAGACTAGCAAACAGTATGGAAATACACACTTCAAGATTATTAAATATAAAGTGGATGCTGAAGCCTAGTTTGTGAACGGCCATAACTTTTTGGAAAAAAAATTAGAAATATCACAGACATTTAGAAATTAAAATTCAAGCTCTTGGCTGGAGTTGTAAGCCACACTGTCCAATAAAAAGGAATAGAGTTGGGTACGATTTGTCCAAATTTTTCCCACCAACCTATTTCCTGCAAAGCTAATATATTAAATAGTTCTTGTTTTTCTTATTTGATAAATATCTTCTTTGAAGTTGTAGAGAGTTAAAAGAAAAAAAATGAAAGTCAAGTTAAAGACGAAAAAATAAATGACAAAATCTGGCAATTTTCTACACGCAAAATGACTTCATGCAGTAAACATTTAAAAAAAAAAGTTTGATGATGAAAAAAGGGCGAGATAAGTTAAGTGTTACAACCAATAGGACAATTGAAAATAATAAATATCTCACACAGGCCACCTCTAGAACTCGACAAAGCATAGCTGAAATTCTCAAACAAACAGGAAAATGAATGAAAAAAAAAAAGTCAACTGTTTAAAACTGTAAGAATTTAGATATCGACAAATCTTTGTAAAAAATGCACACTACACTCTGAACCGCTACAGATTACAAATATATCTGTTTTCTTTGTCATACTTCAGCCATTTTGTCACTGGTGACAGTGGGTAAGACATATTACAATGGGAATGATCTGGTTCCACAGTTGTCAGATAATATACCAAGGTAATCACAGGGGGGTCTGGGCACCAGACGGCAATGGCCGCAAGCACCAAGCAGCAACCATTTGCATATTCTTTTGTGTGGCCTGATCTAACAAAATCATTCATAATCGTATCTCCCTTTAAAACTGGCTGAAATTTTTTTTTTATCGTTTTGATAATAGCACACCATTATGTCCACTGACTCGTCCCACTTCGTTTCTACGAAGCCCCTCCCCTTTCATCCATTCAAAAAACAAAAAATACATCAACAAAAGGCACATAACTGGGAAAACACTTCATGTACATGTATACCCAATCCACATGTACACAATTAAACAACCTACAACTGGTGAGTATAAGAAAAATGTGCATGGTTAACTACCTAGTTTGTTTAAACACAAAAAAAGCACAGAACTACACATCAAGAAATATTCTGCAGATATTATACTGACAGCCGCGCACGAAATTCACTGTCCATTACTGGTTTAGGCAGGAAAAGGAGGAAATCAACTGAAGTTTGATACATTCAAGAAAAAAATCAATCAAATTATAAAGGATTCATAATAAAGGTTCATTCAGAAATTTCATTTAGCTTTGCATTAATTTCTACATAAAGAGTTGCAAACAAAAATTAAGCCACCTACCACAAATGCATCTTTTGGATTCAGCCGCTCTGATATGAGAATGTAGTCTCAAATATTTTCACAAAAATTTCGGTAAAGCTGACTGGAAATATCTTTGGTGAACCAAACTTGCTGCCGATACCGAGAACTGAAGAAGGCTTTGCTTGTTCACAGAGCTTAACAAAAAAATCTCTTTATGTTATAGGTAATTCAGTATTCTATGACTATCAGGGGTGTGAGTGACCACTGATAAAGATAGCTGAAAACAGCTGGAAAAGGTGTAAAAAAGCTGAACTTTTGAAATCTCCTATACTTTTGTACACAGCAAGTGAGGGAAAAAAAACTGAAATCCAAAACAAAAAAAAGCCGAGATTTCACACCCCTGGACTATATGATGGTTTAAGAGAGAAGTGTGTGTTATAGGATTTCAACATGTAAAAAGATGGGAAACTTTGAAAAAATCGTCAAGACGGTTGTTGAAGAGATGTGGCATGAAGCTTTGGTTTCGGGTACAAGGCAGCAAGTTAGAGTTCCTTGTACATTGGTAAGTGTGAAGAATCACCACATTTTTGCCTTGGAGTGAATGCATGGTACATGCATCAGGCAGTCATGGATAAAATTTGTTCCAGATCCCTCAACTTATCCGAGTCCACTAGACACTACGCAACCGGCTGCAACAATTTTCTTGCTTGATTCCAATTCCATCCGGGAGTCTTGATTCTGTTGCAATCAACACAAATTTCCCAGTGGAAAAAAAGGGTACCTATTAAATAAAGTGCACTCATGAAGTGCAACTGCCCTCTTAATAAATACGATTCACTGCCTAAAATTTGTTCTGAATTTGGAATTTTCACATGCCTGACAGATGATCAGCTTGCTTTGTGATGCATAGGTTCACTATATTACCAGAAATGCCTGATCTTTGTTATTATATTGGATGGGGTCGATAAGCTCACCTGGGTCAGCCACCACAGACCCTGCTCGTGGAGCAAAGTCAATGATGGAAGTATGTCGCACGCATGCATTGTTCATTCCAAGAAACGGACAAATAATGGCCGACAGACAGCCGAACAGATCAAGTGGGCCAAAAAATCAAGTCTATTTGAAGTCTAAAGCTAATTAGTTATTTATCTCATTGTGAATTTAGAGGCTATAACTCCAGCCCGACGTTGTTACTTTTTGTGATTGATGCAAAAGCAGATGATCTCAAAATAAGACTCAGTCTGAAAAGGGCATTTTGTCAATGTCTACGGCCGCGGCTGTGGATGTCATGTGAGGATCATAATGTCCTGCGTTTGTGCGTTCGATATGCCCGGTTCTCATGGCTAACCCATCTGCCTTTACCCGAGTCAATCGGGTGAGCTAATCGAATGCGCCCACTGAGAGTTGACCCCTCGACAGAATTGTTAGGCACTGCCTGGAATCATCTCTCAGGGAACAAGAAATCGGCTACCAGAGAGACAACTCCCTAAAAAAATGGAACCATGAGTTGGCATAAATACTATTCGATAGTGGAGTAGAGTTGCCCAAACCTATTCTAAAGATGTTCCTTATACCTTCCTTAATCCTATATCTTGGCCAGAACTCAAAAAGAAAAATATGTCCTCTTTGGTGAAAGGAACGTGTATTCGGAAAGTTTTATCATTTTAAAATGTACCATAATACATGTACATCTTACAGAAATGCAAACGACCAAAATGTGGTCCAGCGAGAAAGACTTAAAAGAGCAATTATAATGCTTTGGTGAGTGGTGCTTGGCTTATAAAATTGGGCCTGACCAACAAAATAAGGATGACAAAGATTAACTAGGATCTAAAAAAAAAAGTACAGCGGCCAATCAGGTAAGAGAACAGGGACCTGAATATTACTGTCTCGTCAGTTCCATTATATAAATGCTGTATAGGGTGAGTAAAAAAGAAAAGGAAACCCAAATAGCAGAACCATTTTTGTAATGAAGCTCTGCATGTAGCACTTTCAAAATCTAGGATATGAAAGCCAAATTCATAAGCTTTCTTTTAGTGCAAGAATCATTCAAATCACTCATGTGCTTTTCAAGTTGAGGGATTTGAAACACAAACACCGTTTTAAACTTCTGTCCACGGATCACGAAAAAGGTCAGTGTTCTTTCAGCGAGATGAAAACAATTCATGTAGATCCCCATGTGACTTGTTTTTGTTTTGCTGAAAGAACACTTACCGTTTTAGCGAGACGTGGACAAAACTCCAAAACGGTGGTTTGGTTTAAATCCCACAACTGTATAAGTACATGAGTGCTTTGAATGATTCTTGTACTAAAGGAAAGCTTATTAATTGGGCTTTCATATCCTAGATTTTGAAAGTGCTACATGCAGAACTTCACTACAAATTGGTCCTGCTATTTGGGTTTCCTTAATTTTTTACTCAACCTGTATTCCTATGCCACCCTGTTTTTCCCCCCCATTTGGCATAAGGAATAGACGGCAGTCACCAAACACATTTCCCATTCTCAACTAGGATCGGACATCTGATGCTAGAAATGAAGTCAAAATTAAATCTTTACACAGGGGGAACTCTATCTAGCTTAACCTCTAATGACATAGATCCCCCGCTGAAAAAAAGAAGAAAGTTGAAGAGGATGTTGTCACTAACACAAGCATAAGTACTTAATACCCTGATTTCTAATAACTGCTGTATCAAAAACAATGGCTGTCCGTGTAGTAGTTGTCCATTGTTGTACACACACGTAGCTTCCCCTTGCACGTAGCTTCCCCTGGCAGCGTGGTCATGGACTGCGCGCTTTATCGTCCATATTTACTGTACACACTTGCACCTTGCTGAAATATACACACACAAGACGGCTCAACGTCCATCACAAGCCTCACATATAACATTCGCTCACATCTCCAAAGAACTTTGGTCCATCAATTTTTGTTTGAGTTTCTCCTCAGCAGATGATGAAAATGAAATTTGGTAGCATTTCTTGGAATTTTCCTTTTCACCATTGCGCTTTTTGAGGTCTAGTTCCGAAACTAGTCTGGTCCCTCAATAATAGGTGCTGCAAGGCATGCTGAGCAGTCTGGGGACAATTCCCAGTTTTCTGGTGGTTACCGCTGAACAGCATGTATGATGCGTGTCTCAGTCACCTTGTGTGTTGCTCTACATCTACGCTGGCCGTGCTCACAATCGAGGACACATATAAAGGAATTTTGGTAGGGAGGCTGATCCAAGGGTTTTTTCATCGCTGCTACGTCCTTATCAGCCCCCCAGTTAGATCTTGAATCACACCTTGATCCACCAGTTCATACAGCATTTTCTGTTCCTTGTCCACGCTATGAGTCCAGGAGCGTTTGATTTCCTTCATCTTGAGTTTGTCGTAGTAGTGCAGCGGGGCGTTGGGTACCGACGTGTCGTAGCCGAAGCCAGCGATGGCCACCTCGTCGCAGAAGCGTAGCGACAGCATGATGCCCAAGCAGCCCGAGGTCGGCACATTCTACAAGCAATGAGTTTACGTTCTATCATAATCAACTGGTCAAACATTGTTCACAGCAGTGTTTCAGATAACAAAAACTGGACAAGTCAAAACTGAACTGATTTCCAACCATCCTATTATGACGAACAAGAAATCTTTACAGCACAATTGAAAACCCTGAAGTATTTCATTCAGTCGTTGATCTGAATTAGCATACGGCCTAAATTTGGTACCCAGGCCATCCCCCTCCCACCCCTATACCCAAGTCCATATCCCCATCCCGACCCAACCTGCCAGAAGCTCATCCCTTCCCCTTCCAAATATTAACACACCATGTCACTATCCCTACCCCTCCCCCAAGCCGTGTCCCCATCCCCTACCCCACCCCAAACCAACACTCCTACCACCCCCTACTCCCATTTCAACCCATCCCCACCCGTTACTCCCACTCCCATCATATCCTACCTCCACCCCTGCTCCTACCCCACCCATAACCCACCAATACCCCCTACCCTGCCCATAACCAAATATCTTCCTGTGGGGTGCTGTGGTCCAATGGTTACGGTGTTCGACTCGTGTGCCGTGGTACATGGGTTCGAATCCTGACCGTGGGAACATGGTGCTTGTGCTCTTGAGCAAGGTACTTTACCATTATTGCTTCTTCCTTCGGATAAGACATAAAGCCGTAGGTCCCGAGTGTTGTGAATGCACGTTAAAGAACCCAGTAACACTTATCGCTAAGAGAAGGGGTTTGCCCCGGTGTTTCTGGCAGTGGCTGCAATTTGCGCCACAGTACCTTGTAAACCATTATAAGGTACTACATAATGGGTCTCATATTTCTCATAAACTTTATTTACCTTTCTTTAATAATAGACATAATTTGTGCCAGGAGTGTCATATTGACAGATATGGCGCGGTATAAATGTTCACTATTATTATTATTATCATCATATAAATACCCATGTCACTACCCCTACCCCTACACCTACCCTTACTTCAGTCTTCTTCTGATCGTTTCCCATCCGTCCTTACCCTGTATTGCCTACCCTACCATGTCCCTACGACCACTGCACCCCCTTTCCTATCTCCACACTTAATACCCACCCCATCCCAAATCCTATTAAATCCTAGACCCATCTAGACCCACTCTACATGTATGTTCATGCACTGTACCAAACTCCGTGCTCAAGGCCATACTTCCTTGACCACAAAAAAAAGTTACTGAAAGGATGTTCTTTTTTTCATGGAAATCATTCGGCCTCAAACTCGACATGCAGGTTCACTTACATGTACCCATGCGAAACCATTCATCTCTAAATTTGAGACATGAAGCTGTCATCAATAACGAGCATCGCAAGTCGTTTCAATATAATGATACAAGTTTTCAGTGCTATGGTAAGATTGTTTATAGTTAGATTGACTGTTTTCTCTCAGAAGTTTCTAGTGCAGGTTACTCGCAAAGTGCACACCCACTGGCTTGGTATCTACCAGAACCCTTACCTTGCCAACTTTCCCATCTGTGGATACAGGGAACCCGATGATTTCAAACCCAGTCTCCCGTAGAATGGACGGATTGAGCATGCGGAAATACTCCGGCTTCTTCGGTACAGTTGAGGCAATCTTTTTCCAAAAGCCTTTTTGATTTGTCTACGTGCAGGGAAAAGACCAAAAAATTATTAAATCATTGTATCTGGACACACACACAAATTCCTGAAATACAGTTTTTAAAAATAACTCGTCAAGCATTCATAATTGGATGCAGAAGCATATATTTTTTATTGACAAATCATCAACAAATTGTTGCTTCCCTTTCAAAAGGGTTGTGTTTTTATCTGCAAAGTAGGTTTCCAGTAAAAACACACACACAAACAGTGCCCCAAAATACTGTATCTTTGTGGAGATATTTCTTTGTTCTCGTGTACTAAAGTTTTCGAGTCTGAAAGTACAGTTTCAAAGTGCTCTTACTTTAAACCAGAATTAATTCCTTGGCTGAAATTCGGACTTAATATCCCTTTTCTAAAACTCTACCATTTGCGACAGATCAACATACCTTGGAAATTCCTAGTTTTTGAGTAAAATTCATATATCTATTTCGTGAAAACCTTGTGGAGACGTATTCATCTATAGAAATTGCCCTGTGGAGATGTATACAATCTTTTGTTCCCTATTGTGTGCATGTCTCCAGAGGGCGCGGTGTAACAGACCACCATTTTTCTGTTGGGTACCCATCTCAGACCGTGCTGGTTCACTTTGGCTGTGGCGGGTTTATGTTTAAACTTTAAAGGCATATAGGATCACATATATGCGTTTCATGCATTTCGTTCATTTCCAATAATAACACCACTCAAAATCCAAAGAAGAATGTTCAAAACCTAATCTGTTGAAGTTTCAGCTCAGTCAAAAAAACAGTGAAAAACCACGTACAACCTTTTGATCATGAAACACGATTTCGTCTATAGCACTCCTTATTCAAAGGATCAGTCTTTTGATTTCTTCTAATGACAGCAAGCCAGACGGAATAATTTCGCGGAGTGTTTAGTACCAGTATGATCTTTAATCCATGTAAGTTTGTTATATTAATTCGTTAGGACTTTTGGGATAAATGCAGATGATCCTATATGCCTTTCACCCTCCTATGCAAACATACATCCTCTGCCAAGTTGTCCTTTCAGTCAAAATCAATCAAGTGACTGTTAGCAACAATTAAAGAGTTCCCAGCTTACATAAAGCAGGATTGACTGGCCGTGACTGTATATGTAACTTGATACACCTATGATTTGATGTAGGTGATTGATAAGCCAGCTGTGCCAACAACTTGCCTGCTTTTGTCTGTAACTGAATTTGATTAGTCACAGTGCTTGCTTGACATATGATCTGACTGTTGGTGACTAGCCTGTATAAAAGGCATAGCAGGGAAGAGGATTGTTTTTTCGACTGTCTGTGACTGTTTAAACAGGAGGGTTTATAGACACCCAAAAAAATCTGGAAGACAAAGCCCAGTAGACTTTCCCAAGTCCTTCATTTTCTCACAATCTTCTTGCCCTGTGCCACCGTCTGTAGCCAGATGAGATCCAAGGGTTTGAAGACCATCATTAACAGTAGCCAGTCGCCGTGAAACTGGTCCGGCTTGCTGAATGTACTCTCCGGGTAGCACATGCGCATTGTCGTCTTCGAGCCAACGTCTTTTTCGTAACCTTTGGTTGGTGCATCATTTATTCTGTGTGTGTGGGGGGGGGGGGGGGGGAGGGAACAAAAGTGCATGTATCAAACAGGTCTTGTTTTCCTTTGGCTATCTAACTATATAGAATCATTGTCTACATTTAGGCCCGGTTAATACTTCACATGAATTTCAGGGCAAAGCCAATTCGTTAGGGTAACAGAGTTGTTGATGTCAGTAATTTCACTTGACTTTCCCTTTCAAGCAAAGTTTGAAATGGCCTTTAGACGGAATTAAAGCAATTTGCAACTAACAAAGCTTCAATACGGACTAGGCTGGTGCAGTATTGCAGGGTTCGAAATTAGCGGTGGCCCGCTAGCCAAATGCTAGTCAAAACAGCGACGGGCTAGTCAAACTATTTCTTAAGTCATGTAAGTAGCCTGGCTGGCGAGTCAAAAATTATTGGGCTATGGCAAAGATGAAAGGACAGGAAGAAATAAATCATACATTTCAGAAAGCAAACCTCATCAATTTGTGTCTAATTTTATCAACTGTTTTAAAGGGTTAAATTAGACCTGTTTATTTAAACACTGACACAATTGCCTCAGAATTGAGCCTGAAAATACGGCATTTTGTATTTGAGCTAAAAAAAATGCGGGCTAGTTAAGAGTCTGTTTCAGTAGCCCGGCTGGCTAGTGAACAAAAAAGTTAAGGTCGAACCCTGTATTGGATTTCGCAAGCCCACGATATACAATGCAAACAGAAAGCATGGGCAGAACTTCAAAGGCCCTGCTGGCTGACTACCAAGCACAATTTTCACACCGCATCTAGATACAATGACCACAAGGATTCAACTAATTATCCATATACCTATGTACATGGTAGGGCAGATCTTGCCAAGTTCTTTCTGTCACCTTTTAATAAAGGGCTTTTTTTTGCACACATCTGGCCACGTTTAAAAGGGACAATTGCGGTAATGAAATTCCATACCAAGGTTGTCTGCATTTCAGAATTATGGAAAACGAATGATTTTTAAACTATGTTTCTTTTTATATTGGAATTGCAGAACTCTTTTTGAGAAATCTATCTTTGCCACTGCTTACAGATCGCATCCGACAGATATCATGTTAATAAGGCCTGAAATATAACAATCATGATGGCATACCAGTGTGGTTACTCACCTTAAAACTACGTCAAAGTTGTCTATAACTTTTCCTAATGAGGTATCTTTAATTAGACCGCCGTTACCGACAATAACACATCGTAAGCAGGATTTACTGAAAGAAGTGAAAAAAAAGGAGAAATCAACTAATTTATCAGGCATGCTTAAAGAGGTTAGAACAGCTTTAAAAATCAGTCAATGTTGTACTTGACTGCTCAATAATTAGATCGTTTGTATTTTCATACACTTTTTGGACTGCAGAAACCAACTTAACCAAAATTTTGTCTCAACAAATGCCCCACTTTTTGAGAAAACAGTGAAAAAAAAAAAAACTATTCTGTCAACACAAGATGAAATTTTGTTGATATGCAGTGGCAAGATAACCAGCATGAATCTACTCAATCTAGTAAATTGTGTCTTGAACAGTAAATCTATCGGTACAGAACAGAGATAATTTCTTGTCTCCTTTTTACAGCACAAATCTATGCTTATGTGCCTTTTCTGTAACTGCAGGTCTACTACAATTCTTTATTACAGGTGCACTCATACATACATTAAAAGTTCGGCCTAGGTAGTTTATGTTTCAGGTACACACTATGATCCTTTAGGGACAATTACTATAGCTCATACATATTCATGATTGAATGGCAAGTTCTCATTGGTCCATTCGCCATCACGTGTCAGCCTCTAGTTTTGCTGTGTGCCAAGTGCAAATGTGAGGTTTTCACACACAGTTTCACAGGCATAGTAGACTATCGCATGGGTGGCCCGTGGCACGCTTTACAAAGCAATCGTGGAACTGGCACAAGGGGGTAGTGCGCACGCGCAAACATCACCCTACCGGAAGCCACATGAAAAGATGGGGGCACATGCACAAGAACAACGTTTTGCCCAGAAAACTGTTGTATAACTCAACGAAACTTTGTTGAATACGTATGAGGTACATGTATAAACAAAACAAAAACAACATACATGTAGGTTATTTCCGGGTTCGCCTCGGGAACTAGTTTGTTGACTTCCAATACCACTTATATCAACTATCCACCTTCAAACCATGTTATATTTGTATAGCAATGAACAATTTGAAGCCTGGCTGATCCAATTTCAGTCGTACCCAAGGATACAATTTTATGATCAATTGAGTTTAACTCCTTACCGTTTGGCTATTAAAGGTAAGCTTGTATTCCGAGCAATGGCCAGTGTTTCTCTTACTGATTTTGCTGTGAGGGACAAAGAACATATCCGGGGTAAAATACATATAGAGTAAGCTGTGACTTTTATAAATAGTACTTCTATAAATTTTTACTTTCTAAATAAATGGTTTACATTTACCAACAATTTTTTTCAACAAATTTCAAATGAGATATTATGAGATTTCATTGATCATCAAGACGGCAAAGATGAAAAATGAGCAAGGGCCTGTCTCACTTCAGGCGATTCACAACGCAGTACGCCACCAAGAGTTTGCCTCGGAGAGTTCGTTTTTCAAGTTTACGGTCGACAAAACATGGCCCATTTGAACGAGTGTCAGTAGAAAACTTGAGCTAATTTGTTATAGATTGGGGCATAGCGTTCTGCCGCCTAACAAAAAAAAATCATATTGATAAAACGAAAAGAAAAGGGCAAACAAATACTCGAATCATATGCTTACGAAGTTTCTGGCTGGAAAAACTAACAATTTCAAATGTCCCGCGCTGCAAATTTGTCGACCATCTCCCACAATGCACTGGGAAAAATGAACTTTCCGTGGCAAACTCTTGGTGGCGCACTGCATTGTGAATCGCCCGAATTCATATCCTGGACGAGTTCTGAGAACACCCTGTAGTTTAACTTGTTTGAAATTGTGCAACAATAACTACAGAAATGCACTTGAACTATTTAAATAAAAAAAAATCAATTTATAAACGTTGGATTCAGAATAAACTGGAAAATTATTATCCACTTACTTGCATCTTGAACACCAAATGGAAAAGGCAAATCTAGGATGTGAGGTTCAGTTTCAAACTCTGAATTTAAAAACACCGGCGTACTCAGATTAAACCTACCAAGAAACAGAGAAAAAGAATCATGAGATTAATCTGAAGCAATATGATACAGCCTCTGACAGAAACAACTTCTAACAACTTTGTTGCTCAAATTTTAACAAAGCTTCCATGATTTTTAGGGTTCTTTCCAAATTCCCTGAGTTTTCCCCGACTAGTAAAATGGAAACTCATTTCCAAGTTTTTTTCTGATTTCCAGAGTGGCTGGGAAACCTGATTTATTTTCAAGTCTGTGCTTGCTAAATGTGTTTCTAGGTCATTTATACTAATGCTAATTATGCTTATTCTAATTTTGAAACTCATGAGCAAAACAATATTGACTTTCATGTTGACAGCTTGAACTAAAACAGATGTCAGAATTTTGCTTTTGATTTCGTCAAAGATAATTTTGTTTTCCTGTTCACAATGCTGCTTATATGACAGTTAGCATAGAGGGCAAATGATGTGCACAAGCTGTATTGAAGGCTCATTATTTTGTCATAAAATAACGTAACTGGTAAAGTTATGCACACAGTGACACCATATGAACATCAATCCCACTCCCAGGAGTGTGAGTGACCACTGATAAAAATAGCTGAAAACAGCTGAAAAAGGTGTAAAAAAGCTGAATTTTGGAAATCTCCTATACTTTTGTACACAGCAAGTGAGGGGAAAAAGCTGAAATTCAAAACAAAAAAAGCTGAAATCAGCTAAAAAGCTGAGATTTCACACCCCTGCACTCCCTACCGCCCCTTGCCAGGAGTCTACCTGTAGCTGACAGCCTGACAGTGAAAAATAAACTTTTAAAATTATGTTGATCTATTCTCCGTGAGGTCCGGGGTTATTTTTCAATACAAGTATTTGTACAAAACAATGTGTTCATTTTCAAAACCTCTTTTAAAAACCTGTTTCATAAAAACAAACATGCATGCAAGAAGCTATAATGAAACTTTTTTTAATGTCTGATGTATCCAAAAAAGTGCAAAACTGTATTTAAAATCTGTACAGTTGACTGTACCGTTACCAAAACAATTCCTGATTCTCAGTCAAATAGATGTTTTCCCTATTTAGAAGCATGCATGTATAGGGGTGTGCATTTACGGGTAGTACGGGAACCGGGTACCCAATTGAAAAAAAACCACGGGTACCCGGTTACCCGTGAAAGAAACCTAACCTGAAATTCACATCTCGGAAGTTGCTGTTTACAAAAGGCACCTCAAGCAAACCAAAACTAAAGGGTGCTCCACTAATGCATCCTTCAGATTCATTGTGTACTTACTTCGCACCATAGATATTGAGCATTCGATTCCTTGAGCGGTTAGCTGTACATGTCACATTGGGAGAGGCCAGAACAGTGCTAAACAAAGGCAGAAAAGAAACACGAAAAAAGTACAAGTCAGCTGATTAAAATAAGCTTAGAAAGGAAATTATGTGTACCGGTGTCTGTCCCTATGAGACTGAGTTGTAAATTTGGAAGCAAATAGATGTACATATGTCACAAAGCTGTCAAATTGTTTGAGTATAAAACTGGTACTTTGGAGAAAACAAAGTTAGACCAGACACACAAAAAGGACCAATGACGACTGAAGATCCATAATAGACCACTATCATGTTGAGGCCATCAAGTTTTTTTTCCCATTCAAATCAACGTAACCTAAACGAGGCTGGAGGGAAAAATAGACTGGTTCCTTTTTGCACCAAAAACATTATCATTCAGTACTGTTATTGGATACAGGGAACATGACTGAAATGGTGGCAGCATGATAAAGGTCTATAATTATACACAAACCATCAATGGCAAAAGTCTGCTGCCCTCTATTGGTCTTAATCAGCCACTTCAATGTTTGATCAGGGGCACGTTTTGGCGCTGTGACCGTAAACACGTTTCTGGTTCGCGGCCGTTTCGGCGCTTCGGTTACACTGAAATGACGTCATTGTTTCGACGAAAGTTGAACCGAGGTTTCCGGTCGGTTCACTTATGTTTCAAGATGGCAGAAAGGTGAACAAGCTTAGCAGACGACGTTACTTTTTACCATAAATGGGGTTTAAATAGTGGGTTTTTACCTTCAATTGGTACGAAAGTTGATACAGAATATCAGGCCTACATGTACTCTTTTTAGAACTTTAGGGAAACGCTATCAAAAAAAAATCCCACTTTTGCTTTGAATGTTGTTAATCGTGTCCGGTCGCCGCGTGATTTTTCGGGGTTGTGTGCAGTCACGTAGGCAGTAACATGACGTCATGAACAATTTTCCGGTCAGTCCGATCGTTTTCGCGGTGCACAGGAAACATGTTTCAGGTCACGGCTGTGACGTCAGAAACATGTTCCAGTTCAGGGGCCGCCAAAACGTGCTCCAGTTCATTGAAGTGAACCATTTGAACAATTACAATTGAAATCAAAGAATGTACAGTACATACATGTACAATATGTACTATCAATAAGGGAATAAATATGTGCTTGGCTGGTTTTAAACATGTACGTTTAAAACCAGCTTGGGGCATGGATGCAGATAATGGCCCGAGCCGAAGGTGTGGGTCATTATCGGCGACCATGCAGGCTGGTTTTAGTTGCTTAGCCGGTTAGTTGCCTAGCCGGTTTTAAACGTACTTGTTTAATACCGGCCAAGCACATTATTATTCACATTCATAAATACCTTTCAGTCAACAAGTCAAAATAAGTCAAACATCCACAAATTTCCAACGATTTTGTTCAATAATTTTACCTCACGTTTTGTGAAACGCCCCTCTGGCTACATGGTCTATGGTATGTGCCTCACGCGGGTTGTGCTAGAAATCTCTTTGTATGGGGTTTGGCGCGCCAGGCACGTACTGCGCAATGTGGCGCAGAACGCACGGGTGCAGGAATAAAATGTTTAAAACCAGCCGGTGCTTTACCAGCGGTTTAAAACCACCCACGTGATGGGCTCTTGACCAATAGCAATGGGTAAACAGTCTGAAGTATTTATGAATATGTAATTAAAAATATCTTGTACAGTTTTTAATTTATATAAACTGAAATCAACATAGTACTGTTAGTATGTATTACACGGTTAGTTAAAAATGCACACATGCACCATGCCAAGTCAATTAAATCATTCAATTCAGTAAACAAAATAAATAAACAAATAAATAAATAAATAAATAAATAAATGATAAACGCATTCGTCGTGCCACAACTTCAAGCTATATCTAAATTAGTATAACATTTCATATGACAAAAAATCTGTAACATTCTTTGTAACTTTCCAAAAATGCTTCGTGCTCACCAACATTGCCCTGTTCTGAATGTACATGTATATTTTGTTTTGTTGAACTAATATACATGTAGGGGATTATATAAAAAAGAAAGTTTTGTGAACTTTCGGAAGCCAGAATAACTTGATAATGATAAACGCATTTGTCGTGCCATAACTTCAAGCTATATCTAAATTAGTATAACACTTCATATAACAAAAAATCTGTAACATTCTTTTGTAACTTTCCAAAAATGCTTCGTGCTCACGAACAATGCCCTGTTCTGAATGTACAATGTACATTTTGTTTTGTTGAACTAATATACATGTACATGTAGGGGATTACATAACAAAGAAAGTTTTGTGAACTTTCGGAGGCCAGAATAACTTTGTGAAGGCCCCAGGCTAAAACAAAAGAAGATAATTTTGCAACTTCAAACAACATCCTCATCCTGTTTGCAACAGTATACTGTATTCAGATAGCATTCTAGCATGGTGATTTTTAGGGGGTAAGCACTCCTCATGTCGGGATCGTAAGTGCGATACAAAATTATTAATTGTTCAGAAAGTGGCATTTCAGACCAAGGTATTTCGTCTATCAAAGGGCATTTCCAAACGCCATAGAGTGCTGACCGCCGAAAAATCACCATGCTAGAAGGCTGACAGAGAGAAGCCTTCTAATTCTAGAAGTTCTCAACATGTTTGTACATTGTACATGTATTTCTCTTCCATCCACTGATTAAATGCAGTTTGCATAGACTCCAAGTCGCAAAGAAATAACAAATCATAGCCCATGGGTTTTTCATTTCTTGTTATGGTAGTGGCGGCAGTCTCGGTAATTACTGTTTCTGCAGCTTATAGCAAGGGGCCGACTCGAAAACTTTTAAAAATCGACATAATAAAACCCTATGTGTCATGTTGCTCATCTGGATGACAGAACTGGAGTTTGCAAGGCACAAGAGCAGATATTGGAATGAACACAGGAGATATGTTGCACTCAACTGTGATGGTTACTTCACTGACAGAATGCCAAAAAAAACCACCCAAATTGTGCCCAATTTCCAAAGAACATCCCAAATATCCTCAGCAAAAATTAGGCTAGACCCAAAATGTCCAGTGCACTTGTTAATAGTCAGAATATTTATTGTTTCATTTTTAGTAACTATTATGTTTACAATTAAGTTTAAAAAGAGCACATTTGTCGAGCATGAAAGTTCGTTTCCAGTCCCATTATTATAATTATGAAGTAAATAGACGATACCTTTTGGGGACTTAAGAGTTACAGAGCTCGTATCAGGAGCTTGCGACACCATCATGATGTCTTTATCAACTTAAACAATTAAAATTTCCATGCTTTTCTTGACAACTGAGGGCGCTGTTGCTGTGATGTCCTTTCAGGATCGAAGACACTGTTCAGTTTAGCGGTTTTCTGTTCAAATTGTTAACCCAAAAATGTGCTTATTGAAAATATTTGTGAGAAACACTTGCTCACTGGCCTACTACCATGTACTGACATGACAACGAATCACCACAGAAAAGAAAATTTACGATAGCAAAATATCCAGAATTCTTGCAAGTTTTGGTGCTGATCAAAATAGCTGTAACATTGAGTTTTCCCCCATGATAGGACAACACACTTTTGCTCATGAATATGGAAATTCATATTAGCTAGCAAAAAAAAAAAGGCACCAAAATACCTGTGAAAATGGCACAACGAAATTAGAAAATAGGGTGAAATGGGACAGAAAAGTGAATTCCCAAGGATTTCATAAAAAAAAATACATTGCAAGAGCATCGCCCTCCTGAAAACCCGAATAGACAATTTCCATGCACTAACACCTTCTGCTAAATGCATTCAGTTCGCATGTTAATCAAGACAGTTTTTTTTTTTCTCATGAAGAACACCTGAGACTCAGTTCGGTTCGCTCTCGAGTCACACTTCAAGGGACTAGAAAAAGTGCATGATTAGAAGCAGGCTCTTACAAACTCATGTGATGATTACAATCCATTTCCTTCCCAATCTGTTTGAAGTTCATGAGGGGTGTTGTGCCACTGACTTCTGCATTCCATGGGGACAAATACATTATACTTGACCTCTATGTACATGTACATGTACATGTATGTATATACACGCACATACATCTCAAGGCCATGACAATGCATGGTACATGTACATACATGTACACATGTAGGTGTAGTACTTGTGTATTTTCTTGCAATTAAAGGTAGAGTACATGTATATCATTTGCCATAATTAAGTGCATTTGTTTGAAGCAACAAAAGTGCTCAAAACCTAAGGAAGGGTGCTTAACAACTAACCTGATGAAATTTTAGCTCAGTGAATGCTGTATATTCTGAGAAAAACTCTAGGATCTCGATTTCAATTTAAAAGTTGCAAATCATGCGTCCGGGACACGTTCTCATTCAGCCGCTTGCAGCTACCCGATGACTTGCACTGAACCCTCGAATTATAGCAACCGCTCAAGTGTGTGCGTCGTGTCAACGCTTGCACGCCCCAATTCATGGCTTCGCCAAATTAAAAACGAACCACTAAAAGAAGTTTCCAAAGATGTGTTGGAAATGTCCTTCTTTTGTTGTTTCCTTCAAAAGGACAGCATGCCAGAAAGAATAATTAAATCACAGGGAGTTTAGTGCCATTACTATTTAAACCAAGTACGCTTATCAACAATAAGTTGGTCAGTTACTTTTTGGATAGCTGCAAATGATATATACTCTACCTTTAACTCAATATATTAATTTTAAGTACATGTACATGTACACTTGTCCCTCATTTGTATTTTGGATGGTTTTGTAGCAAATATATGTGTTCTCTCTCTAGGCTTGGGTGTTTGCAAAAATGTTGAAATCGATTCCATACAGGAATCACAAATTCTATTCGGAATATCAAATCCATTTCTATTCATCAAAAAAGGAGTCTGAGAGAAAAGACCTCTATAACATTACTGATGAACTACAGTACTGAAACACTATAAACAGGCTCATAAAAAGGAGTCTTGTAAAATTATCCTTCGCTAAAAATGCATATGCTGATTGAAATCAAATTTAATCTGAAGTGTCTGGAATCTATTCTTAGTCGAATAGAATTGTTACTAAGTACTTGGAATTGATTCCTCAAAAAAGTGGAATCATGATTCTGATTCCAACTTTGGAATTGATTCTTTTCGATACTGACCGGGAAACTCCAAACATGCCAAAGGCTACCAACAACTTCACTGGAAAATTATCACAGACTTTTTGGACCAACTCTCATACATGTAGGAAAATGAACATTTAGTGTAATGTACAACATTTGCAAACATTAAAAACAAAACTACCAAGTTATTATAAAAAAAATTACTTGACTGTAAGTGAATAATAGTCCCAAGTATCCTGTGAAATCAAGGCACCTGGTAATCTGTCATTTTCAAGAAAATGGAATTCTCGTATCAATTTCCAACGACACTTGGCCAACATCGTTGGACAAAAGAAACTGGCTTTGTTCAAATATTGCCCTCAATTCACCAATCTAGTCTACATTTTGTCCGCAATTGATTACACATCAGCGATTGAATGCAAGCCAGCTATAGTCTGGTTCTCTGACCTGACAATTCCCCGACATCTATAAATTGTTCTGTTTTGTGTGAAGCGTCAGGTCAGGGAACCAGACTACAAGAACAGCATTTTTCTTGTTTTTGTTTCCAGTATCGATGAACACAAAACTTTAAACAGGTGAGTGGAAAAATACTTGCCATAAACTAGTAACCCCCAAATTTGTCCATTTTTGAAAATTACCATACATGTACATGTACATCAAAAGCAAATGTTGTTAATTAAATCTAGTGTAGATACCAGTACGATTGCTACAAATCTATACACATACATATCACAAGTAAGCACAAAGCGCACAGACACCAACTCCAGTACTGTATTTTTATGAAAAGTTCTTGCAAAGCTTGACTTTAGTGTTCCTATGTTCCCGGCCATCACCACAGACTACAAAAATGGCTATATTTACCAAGTCAGGTTCTCTGTGTTTTATTCGAAGGTGCCTTTTTAAAATATAAATGCATATTTCAAAACAGCAGGTTCAATGGATTTAATCTGACTGTCCCCTTGAGACAGTAAAAACAAATCCCCATCAATAATGTCTTTCATTTGTGAATTATGCATTTTTTAAAATGAAATCTGTGTTTCAAAAACCACTTTTAACAGGACATAAATTACTTGTGTATGAGGTTTGTTTGAAAATAGAACAAATGGACTTTGAAAAATGACTTGACAATGTATGGACCACAACACTGTCTAACATCAGACCCCAATACCTGATTTTAAATAATGAACACAGCATTTAGCAGTGTGCCTACCCCTTCCCCAACCACCAACTCCCACTTTGCCTTCCCCTTCCTCCATCCCACCCACCCCCACCCAGTTGGCCTTCCCCTCTACCCCATCCCACAAACACTCCCCCACCCGCCCCACCCTGTTTACCCGCCCCCACCCAGTTTGCCTTCCTCCCTTTGTCCATCCCACACCACCCTACCTGCCTCCCACCCCACCCAGATTGCCTTTTCCTCTCCCCCATCCCACAAACACCGCCCCCACCCAGTTTGCCCGCCCCCACCCAGTCGACCCGCCCAAACTCAGTTTGCCTTCCCCCTTTGTCCATCCCAAAACACCACCCCACCTGCCCCCCACCCAGTTTGCCTTCCCCTCGCCCCATCCCACGACCACCCCAACCGCCCCACCCAGTTTGCCCACCCCCACCCAGTTTACCCACCCCCACCCAGTTTACCCACCCCCACCCAGTTTGCCTTCCCCCCTCGTCCATCCCGCACCCACTAAAAAAAAAGGATGATTTTTTTTTCCCGATCCCACATTATTTTGCTTACAGTGAATCCCAACTTGGTGACATGTTATTTTGCATGTGTACACTTACCTCATGTCCACCGCTTTCTGAACCATTGGTGATAATTTAGATTTACGTGCCGGCTGCGCCAATGTCTTGTGCTGTTTAACGGCAGGTTTGGCTGCTTTGGCAGGTTTGGCTGCTTTGGCAGGTATGGCTGCTTTAGCAGGTTTGGTAACCCGACTACCAGAACTGTCCGGCGGGCTAGTGCAGCAGGGTACAGGCAGGTCCAGGCAAAGGGTATAGTTAGGTAGAGTAGGGGGTAGGAAACCACACCATGCAGGCATACAGAAGTGGGGAAGAAAGGGTTAACAAAAATTACAAGTGCTGTTAATGGGAAAGGATTCACAACTGTTAATGGGTTACGGTGGGATTTAAGCACACGTGCAACTCATTCGGTAACCATAAACCAAAAATTAGTGGAATTTTGATGCACTGGCTTCTGTTCCCTCAGTAAAACAATATAAGACATCTTCCCAAAATAAATAAGGGATGGGATGAAAAGGGTTTAGATATGATTGGATTGGAATATGAAGAGATTCAGAAATCGGTCAAGGGTTGGGATCGAATGGGATTTAGAGGGATTAGATACAATGTAAAAGGTTTAAGATGGTACATGGAATAAAAGGAATGGAATGGGAGGGGATTTGATAGTGAAAGGTGCAGAGGGATTTATGGCTTAAAAAAAGGATTAAAAGGGATTAAATGGTATAACAGTTAGTATGGGAAGGATCAATTATGATGTCCAAGGTGAAATGAATCAGACAACATGCATTTATAATGAAAATGAATGGATGAAGGATGCACAGCCGGAATGGACAATGATGGAATGCCATTCGGAAACACAGATTTGGAAAACACAGATTGGTAACAAGCAGACTTCCTCAGAAAATATGAAGCAGTTCCTCTAAGGATATGTTTACAAAAGCAAAGCCTCACACTACGCGTGGGAGTAGTGCATAAGAACTGCAGTGCCAACTTGCATTTTTGGCACGTAAGGTAGATGTATGTGATGCTTGATTGAAACAAATGTTTTTTTTCAGCGCAAACTTGGACCTCGCGCAAATTTACTGTCCTTATTCCTGACTTGATTATCTTATGAATTAGATAATTTGAACTGCGCATGTGCATGCTTTATAAATAAGGAGCATGTTTGATTACTCACCCCCCCACCCCCCCCCCCCACCCCCTTCGCGTTGTGCCTCTAAATCAGGGAAAGTTGCACATGCGCAATATGCATGTGAGAGTATGCAAACGATCTTGGGTGACTCGACGATGTCCAAGTGACGTACGCGGCCATAATGAATAATAAACGTTCAATATTGGAGCCCCTTTTTAAAGCGGATTGGTTTCAAATAATTACATTGACATAACTTGACTGAAGCCATGCTGCCGTACTTCAGACACACTGTTAACACAATGTGTCAAATTTCGGCCCATCGTCAGGAGTAATTTAAATAAAACTGTTCGTTTTTTAACTTCCCATCACTGGCGGATCGCCGGACATGGCAGTCATGTTTTAGCATGACCTTATGGGATACTTACCCAAGTAACCAGCTCAGCGGGTCGGTTACTTGGGCCAGGATGGAGTAAGTGCGCCGAGACATCATGTGAGAGTTACATTTGTTAATCGAACGCAGTCGCGCTTGCACAAGCGCGAGAAGTGATTGAACACGCTAATGGTCAATAAATTTGCGCGAGGTCCAAACTTGCACTTTTACAGCTGGAGAGTATTACATGTACTTTTTGCATAGCATAATGTACTTTGTACATGTACATACAAGCATGTGTTAATTTCTGATTAACAAGAGTAAGATATTATTCATCTTCTAAAAAGAAAGCCCTCAAATAAACTTCCAACTGGGAAAAGACATTTTAACATTTTAACATTGAGTTAGGTAAAAACATCAACACCAAAGCTGAAAGATATACCTTCGGGCAGCTATAAGCTTGTTTAAAAAAGCGAATCCCGAAAACAGTAATGCGGAAAAATGTATAAAATACTGACCTTCAGGGCCTAATATATGCAAATAAAAAGAATCATAAATTTAATATTTTTTTTACTTTGGATCCGGGTTGAATGTACTATAATCAATGATTATCTTTCTGTGAGATTTAGAAACATGTGTGATATCCAAACAGTCACTTAATGTGATGAAACTATTCTTTGCATTGTTACGTGGCTGATTTTCGTTGCATTCAAATGATAGTCAAGATGACGTTTTAATGAAAAATCTGTTATTGACCCAAAATGAAACCACATCATATTTACCATGTTTCATAAATATTTCTTTCTTTTTGAATTGTTTCCCACCAAATAAACACAAGGAAATATTACAGAAATTTCCTGACATGTTTTGACTATCTTGCTGTGCACACAGCCAAAACGACTTTAAAATGGCTGAAAAAGTAAAATATGAATAGCATGCTACCAATGTAGCAATCAGAGGTCTGTGTTCAAATGCATGTCAAATAGGAGTTACATGTATAATGAAAAGTAAGAGTAAATTTTCAACTAAGCCAAAACGCCTTTAAAATGGCTGAAAAAGTACAATATGCATAACATGCTACCAACGTAGCAATCAGAGGTCTGTGTTCAAACACAGGTCAAATAACGGTAGGAGTTGCAATGAAAAGTAGGAATAAATTTTCAACAAAACCTTTGACACAGAAGTGCATATTTATTGAATTTAGGTTTTAATTACGGTACTCTGCTGTTTCTCAACAATAAAGTAGAATCTGCTTCTCCCCCAGGAAAACAGAATGTTCCAAGGATCAGCTCGAGAGGCTAGTTTTACCGCATCACTCAAAGCAGTCAATATTTGTGTCAAAGCAGTCAATATTTGTGTCAAAGCAGTCAATATACGTGTCAAAGCAGTCAATATACCGGTATGTCAAATGGTGTCCAGCCACCTCCCCCCCCCCCCCCACTATTTTTCAAGCATAATTATTCCATCCCAGCTCCCCCACTCATCAACACAGAGGTACCGGTACATGTTTACCACTAAACTTTGCTTTTCAGTATTTTAGCATTCAGTCCGGAACTTGGTACTTGATTGAAGGTAGACGCATGGCATGTGGCAAATACAGATGGGCATGCAGCATACAGTTTGTTGATGCAGCTTCTCGTATTGGCCCAACCACTTGTAATTGTGATATTAGAATCACAGCTACCCATACTAATCAACATATAAATTCAGGCACTTGTTGTTGTGCTTTTAATAATATTTTTATTTAAAATTGTCACCTTAAAGGTAGAGTATTGTATATCGTTTGCAGCTATCCAAAAAGTAACTGACCAAATTATTGTTGAAAAGCATGTATGGTTTAAAGATAGTAACTGCCCTAAACTCCCTGTGAAATTATTCTTTCTGGCATGCTGTCATTTTGAAGAAAACAATAGGGCTAGAAGAAGGTAATTTCCAAAAATGCGTCAAAAGTCGCAATTTTGAAAATTTCCGTTAGTAGTTCGTTTTTTAATTTGGAGAAGCCGTGAATGGGTGTGCGCAAGCGCCGACAAGACGCACACGTGCGCAGTTGCTATTATTCGTCGGTTCAGTCCGTGACATTGCGTAGCTGCAATCGGCTGAATGAGAACATACGGTACATGTTCGGACGCATGATGTCGGGCACAATTCAAAACATGACTGCGCAACTTTTGAATTGAAATCGAGATCCTAGAATGTTGTTTTCTTGGAATATACAGCATTCACTGAGCTTAAGTTCATCAGGTAAGTTGTTAAGCACCCTTCTTTAGATTTTGAGCACTTTTGTTCCTTCAAACGAAAAAAAAATGCACAACTGACAAATGATATACTCTACCTTTAAATTGCTACGATGAATGCATGGTTTTGACAAATAGCTCAATATTTTGTTGGTGCTAGTTCCAATGTTCACATGCACGTCACAATCACCTGGATTCGTGATATCCTGGCAGCTGTTCAATTTTATTTGATACATAGTCAAAATGGCATTACATGTACTTGCTTCAAAAAGTGGGGCAAAACTATTGTTCATTAACTTCAAGTCTTTTTTCAGACTTTTAAAATGACAACATTATGTACTTTTTGAAAGTTCACTCACGAAAAACTGTTACCAGCATAAAACAGGTGGGCAATTCCAAGCAAACAGGGACACGGCCCCAAAAAATCAAATTCATTCCTGAACTTCCTTTTCATTTTGAAGTTATTGCTAAGAGATGTAAGGACCAGGATATAAACTTTTTTAGTCAAATCTTCATCGTTTTCTATGAAATATGTTACGTTGGTTTCTGGTGATGTTTGGCTTATAAAATGTACTACTTTATGTGCATTTTCATTTGTTCGCATTTCTTGGAAAAAGCATTAGTCACAAACTTATTATGCAATTTAGAAGTATGACTTTATACCTTAAAAACAATATATGCCCATGACTTTTGTTAAAGACATGTAGGTGCACAGCTAAGGACGCTTAGCCATATGAAATGCGAGTGACGAAATTAGATCTCTTTTTTATTATTATTTTAAACTGGTAGTGATTATATTGCTGACAATTGATAATTTGCTTCTCCCACCAACACCAAGTATAAAAGCAACAAGTATTAAAACCAAAAACTCAGCACATTATAATAGAGAGCCCTTGAAATTTGAAATGCGAGTGACAACTGAAATGCGACTGACGATTTCACTTTCTATTACAAGAATGCAGACAGAGAAGCTCTTACTGGGTAGATGATAATATAGAGGGAAGTGCATAGTACATGCACGGAGTGTGCATATTGTCTTAGACCTAGAAGGCAGGCATCATTTATGGTACCCATGGTAACCATTTCTGAACAGTCTGACCTTACTCAAATAAAACTTGTAAGTTAACTGTTAAGTCAATTTTGGTGAAATAATTCATGCTCCTGCTGCTAAGGTTGTGAGTTCATTCAAATAGTACATGAATGGATGAAAACAATTCATTTTTTTAACAACTTAAGCATGGGACTGCAGAAACTAGAGAGGTACATGTACATGTAGTGCCTTTGCGGCTGCGGATTACTAAATTACAGTACATTTGTAAATATTTAAGAAAATACTTTTTTCCCATTGTTATTAATATTTTGAGTCTTTTTAAACAGCTTTGTACATGTAGGTTGTTTGATAGGACAAAGCCCAGATTTGATAAGAATTGTGGAGGAAAAGCTTCATTTTGTTCACAACTTAATTTATTGACGAACTAAA